GCTGACATACCAGGGGTGATAATACCAGTAAATCTGGAATTTAAAACGAATAGCAGTTGATCCTGATAAAGCTAAGGGGCGTAACTCTGCATAGCGAGTTGCAGCGCAGCGGGCCACCGGTCCAATTATCTCCCCTTTATGTTTCAAAGAAGATGGATGACTTTCGTTTCTTTATGCGTACGCCTCTAATAGGTTAACCCTTGGCACTCTATTTAAACCATAAATCAAATCCCATTCGTCAGAAGTTCTCGTCAAAGGGGGTAACTAGTGAACACGGAATTCTTTATTATCAAATTCTTAAAAGCACTTTCTCTTTGATGCGTATAAACGCTAAAGCTAATGTTATGTACTGCATTTAACGATGTATTTCCCATGAATAGACATCACTGGTTCATGGAGGTTAGGTTTTTAGGAACTAGAGAGCATTTTGCAAAATCTGATGATCGCTTAAGAATCTAATGCGTCCCTGGTTTAACGTCATTACGGGGCAGACTTGCATATTTCAAACATACCCCCCACGGAGTAATGTACAACAGAGTCGTGATGACTTCGTCAACATGTAAACATCACCCCGCAGTCATAAATAAGGTGACGCTATTTTTTAAAATTTGATAACGACTAAACTATTCGATCTTGTTGCAGAAGGAGGTGGAGGAAATACTGTAAAAGAATATGATCATCTTTATTGATGATTTATATGATTCTGTTCACACAATGCGTGTATACTTGTATAACGATGTGTTCAGGTAGACGCAAATAAACACGTGTTGTGTTCAGGTAGACACAAGTATACACGTGTTGTGTTCAGGTAGATGCAAGTATACACGTGTTGTGTTCAGGTAGATGCAAATATACATGTGTTGTGTTCAGGTAGACGCAAATATACACGTGTTGTGTTCAGGTAGACGCAAGTATACACGTCTTGTGTTCAGGTAGATGCAAATATACACGTGTTGTGTTCAGGTAGACGCAAGTATACACGTGTTGTGTTCAGGTAGACGCAAATATACACGTGTTGTGTTCAGGTAGATGCAAATATACACGTGTTATGTTCAGGTAGACACAAGTATACACGTGTTGTGTTCAGGTAGACGCAAATATACACGTGTTGTGTTCAGGTAGATGCAAATATACACATGTTGTGTTCAGGTAGATGCAAATATACACGTGTTGTGTTCAGGTAGATGCAAGTTTACACGTGTTGTGTTCAGGTAGATGCAAGTTTACACGTGTTGTGTTCAGGTAGACGGAGGTATACACGTGTTGTGTTCAGGAAGATGCAAGTATACACGTGTTGTGTTCAGGTAGATGCAAATTTACACGTGTTGTGTTCAGGTAGATGCAAGTTTACACGTGTTGTGTTCAGGTAGATGCAGGTATACACGTGTTCTGTTCAGGTTGATGCAAGTTTACACGTGTTGTGTTGAGGTAGATGCAAGTATACACGTCTTGTGTTCAGGTAGATGCAAGTATACACGTGTTGTGTTCAGGTAGATGCAAGTTTACACGTGTTTTGTTCAGGTAGATGCAAATATACACGTGTTGTGTTCAGGTAGATGCTAATATACACGTGTTATGTTCAGGTAGACACAAGTATACACGTGTTGTGTTCAGGTAGACGCAAATATACACGTGTTGTGTTCAGGTAGATGCAAATATACACATGTTGTGTTCAGGTAGATGCAAATATACACGTGTTGTGTTCAGGTAGATGCAAGTTTACACGTGTTGTGTTCAGGTAGATGCAAGTATACACGTGTTGTGTTCAGGTAGACGGAGGTATACACGTGTTGTGTTCAGGTAGACGGAGGTATACACGTGTTGTGTTCAGGAAGATGCAAGTATACACGTGTTGTGTTCAGGTAGATGCAAATTTACACGTGTTGTGTTCAGGTAGATGCAAGTTTACACGTGTTGTGTTCAGGTAGATGCAGGTATACACGTGTTGTGTTCAGGTAGATGCAAGTTTACACGTGTTGTGTTCAGGTAGATGCAAGTATACACGTGTTGTGTTCAGGTAGATGCAAGTATACACGTGTTGTGTACAGGTAGACACAGGTGTATATGTGTTGTGTTCAGGTAGATGCAAGTATACACGTGTTGTGTTCAGGTAGACGCAAATATACATGTGTTGTGTTCAGGTAGACGCAAATATACACGTGTTGTGTTCAGGTAGACGCAAGTATACACGTCTTGTGTTCAGGTAGATGCAAATATACACGTGTTGTGTTCAGGTAGACGCAAGTATACACGTGTTGTGTTCAGGTAGACGCAAATATACACGTGTTGTGTTCAGGTAGATGCAAATATACACGTGTTATGTTCAGGTAGACACAAGTATACACGTGTTGTGTTCAGGTAGACGCAAATATACACGTGTTGTGTTCAGGTAGATGCAAATATACACATGTTGTGTTCAGGTAGATGCAAATATACACGTGTTGTGTTCAGGTAGATGCAAGTTTACACGTGTTGTGTTCAGGTAGATGCAAGTTTACACGTGTTGTGTTCAGGTAGACGGAGGTATACACGTGTTGTGTTCAGGAAGATGCAAGTATACACGTGTTGTGTTCAGGTAGATGCAAATTTACACGTGTTGTGTTCAGGTAGATGCAAGTTTACACGTGTTGTGTTCAGGTAGATGCAGGTATACACGTGTTCTGTTCAGGTTGATGCAAGTTTACACGTGTTGTGTTGAGGTAGATGCAAGTATACACGTCTTGTGTTCAGGTAGATGCAAGTATACACGTGTTGTGTTCAGGTAGATGCAAGTTTACACGTGTTTTGTTCAGGTAGATGCAAATATACACGTGTTGTGTTCAGGTAGATGCTAATATACACGTGTTATGTTCAGGTAGACACAAGTATACACGTGTTGTGTTCAGGTAGACGCAAATATACACGTGTTGTGTTCAGGTAGATGCAAATATACACATGTTGTGTTCAGGTAGATGCAAATATACACGTGTTGTGTTCAGGTAGATGCAAGTTTACACGTGTTGTGTTCAGGTAGATGCAAGTATACACGTGTTGTGTTCAGGTAGACGGAGGTATACACGTGTTGTGTTCAGGAAGATGCAAGTATACACGTGTTGTGTTCAGGTAGATGCAAATTTACACGTGTTGTGTTCAGGTAGATGCAAGTTTACACGTGTTGTGTTCAGGTAGATGCAGGTATACACGTGTTGTGTTCAGGTAGATGCAAGTTTACACGTGTTGTGTTCAGGTAGATGCAAGTATACACGTGTTGTGTTCAGGTAGATGCAAGTATACACGTGTTGTGTACAGGTAGACACAGGTGTATATGTGTTGTGTTCAGGTATATGCAAGTATACACGTGCTGTGTACAGGTAGATGCAAGTATATACGTGTTGTGTTCAGGTAGATGCAAGTATACACGTGTTGTGTTCAGGTAGACACAGGTATACATGTGTTGTGTTCAGGTATATACAAGTATACACGTGCTGTGTACAGGTAGATGCAAGTATACACGTGTTGTGTTCAGGTAGATGCAAGTATACACGTGCTGTGTACAGGTAGACACAGGTGTATATGTGCTGTGTACAGGTAGATGCAAGTATACACGTGCTGTGTACAGGTAGATGCAAGTATACACGTGTTGTGTTCAGGTAGATGCAAGTATACACGTGCTGTGTACAGGTAGACACAGGTATACATGTGTTGTGTTCGGGAAGATGCAAGTATACACGTGTTGTGTTCAGGTAGACACAAGTATACACGTGTTGTGTTCAGGTAGACACAGGTATACACGTGTTGTGTTCAGGTAGATGCAAGTATACACGTGTTGTGTTCAGGTAGATGCAAGTATACACGTGTTATGTTCAGGTAGACGCAAGTATACACGTGTTGTGTTCAGGTAGATGCAAGTATACACGTGTTGTGTTCAGGTAGACACAAGTATACACGTGTTGTGTTCAGGTAGACACAGGTATACACGTGTTGTGTTCAGGTAGATGCAAGTATACACGTGCTGTGTTCAGGTAGATGCAAGTATACACGTGTTATGTTCAGGTAGATGCAAGTATACACGTGTTGTGTTCAGGTAGATGCAAGTATACACGTGTTGTGTTCAGGTAGATGCAAGTATACACGTGCTGTGTACAGGTAGACACAGGTATACATGTGTTGTGTTCAGGTAGATGCAAGTATACACGTGTTGTGTTCAGGTAGATGCAAGTATACACGTGTTGTGTTCAGGCATATGCAAGTATACACGTGCTGTGTACAGGTAGATGCAAGTATACACGTGTTGTGTTGAGGTAGATGCAAGTATACACGCGTTGAAACCTAAACACACACAAACGCCCCCCCCCCCCCCCCCCCCCCCCCCAACAAACACACACACACCGCGCGCACGCGCGCACGCACACACACACACATACACACACACACACACACATACACCACGCACACACCACACACACGCCACACACATCACATGTTGACACACACATACACACACACTTCTCACGTCTATGTAAGCGCCTGCATATACTGCACCAACCACACCTACCCCTGTGGCGACTCATCGTGACTGGTCCATGCGTTGTTGCCGACATGCACTCTATGACGTAGTCACGGCCTTATTTTACAGGGCCGTCATGGCCAGTGGCGACGAGGTATGCTGAATGATTTACGTTTCATTGCGAAACATCTTCACGCGGCATGTTACAACTGTATTTAAACTTGTCAACACATTCAAGAGATTAGAGACTTAGGCGATAAGATATTTCTTATTTGACTCATTTAATCACAAAAATACATCAAACCAAAATTAATCGGTAAATAATATTCATTTCTGTCAATTCGAATTATTCCGGGTACTTATTTAAAACCCAATATACCGCAGGTAATCCTTTCCCACGCTTTCGGCGTTCTAAAATATATATTAAAAAGGCTTACACCCTGACACGACTGACCCATTTACAAATATTGTGAATACGGCGGTAATAACACCAGCCAGGGACAGACAAGCTGGTTAGTCACCGACTCACACTCGGCCCGGCCCGCACAAACACTTCCTTTGTACGAGGACATTAGCTTTCACTGCGGTACTGCTTCAAGTCGCGGCCTATTCATCAGCACAAGTACATTTTGGTTTGGTCTGAGAGATCCTGTTGTATGATATATTTAATTTTTTTGTCCCCGAACAGGTTTTGATTTCAATTTGAAGGATCTGTGAAAGACTGACACCCCGTTCGCGACTCGCATATTGTTGTTGAACTGTAAGGAGTTTACCTTTCGGTGATGTCAGGAGCTGGTTTCAGGGTGGGATGACATTTCCTTGAAGGGAGATTGTTTTGAGTGAACTCTGGATAGATCAAGGTATGTTGTTTTGAGTACAATGAATAGTTGATGATGTACATAGTGTTACTGTCTAGTTCAGAGCTGTATCTGAATTACATTATTCAAATCTCTAAGTATTTGCATTGCAGTCATAGAGAGACGTCTGATTCATATAACGATGGTATTGCTTTACTAATATCTTGTTGTGTTCATCTGATGAGACCTACAACACTGTCATGTTGATGAAATACTTAAAGTCAGTGATAAAGCCAAGCAAAGGTTTGTTTCTGCTGGGATAATTATTGTATCATCGTGTGTTTTGGTTTCATTGTGATATATGTGACATATTGAAGCTTGTCACAAACAAATTCCAGTCTAAACCAACTTAACAGAGCTTACGCTGTGATTTTACGTATGCTTTTATCAGTATCATAGCTAGAGTTGTGTCCCCTACCATCACATGAACGCGGAATAAGCATTTGGTTGTATACTCCCCAGGGAGCTCAGAACGCAATTGGAATGCGTACTGATCCAGAATAATCATGTAATGCTCTGAACATGCGAAATCATATATATCATATAATTCTCTGTCGCTTTTGATAAGATTCGGGAAACAAATATGCGTGCATGTACGTCTATGTGTGTGTGTGGCCGCTTGTAATAGTCCGGACTAATGTCGATTGTATAGTGCTAGCCCACTTAGATACCAGGTCCACTGATACCAGACTGATACCAGACACAGACACTCCGAGCCAACCAGTCCTTGTTTTTTAGCCCCTTAATGCTGAGCGCAAGACAGGGTAACAACAAGTACCACCTTTAAACATATTTTGGTATGACGCGGCCGGGGATCGAACCCCGGATCTTCCGGCCTCCGAGCGGACGTCCTACCACTAGACCACGAAGGCGGTCAATAATAATAATAATAATAATTTTTTTAAATAATAATGACAATGTTAATGAGGAGGATGACGACGGTGATTATGATGATGATGACGTTATGCACATCAGTGGCATGCTTATTACTATTGTTATCGCAATCAGAAGCAGACCAGGACAATGCGGACTGAGACAGCGTTGTGTTTTATGCTGGTTCTCCTGACCGTGGTTGACAGCGTCAGCTTCAGACGTCAGCAGCATGGCAGAGAGAAACGACAGCAGCAGCAGCAGCAGCAGGACTTTGAGGTTACAGCTATGCGGATACAGAACATCCTTGATGCTCACAACAAACTACGGAGGATGGAGATTTCCACAGACATGAACATGCTGGTGGGTGCTTAGACAGCCTGTAAGAACGTGGGGTTCTGGGGCGTGATAGATCGCGAGTAATGAATCTCTGGTGTAAGGGCATTCTTCACCACTCTCCCCTTTCTGTAACCTGCAAAAAGACGCGCCCCCCTACCGATGAATGGTATGTGCCAGAATACAACAAACCAATCAGAATGCGCGTATGACTTAAAGTACTTCGATCAAAGAATCGATCAAAGAATCCATCAAAAATAATTTTTGATTTTGCATATGTGCTTGCATCCAAAACTATATCCAAGATATAGGTATATGTGTTCAATCATACTGTACAGTACCGTAAGTCCCAATGTATTTTAATAGCAATTGGAATACTTATGACATATGGGGAAATATACGTGAATCATTGCGCAACGGGTTGACAATCCATTTAGCTATGCCCGTTTGCGCTTAGACGGAACCCAGTCGCAACAATGGCCACGAGTAGGGCACGAGTGACTATTCGGCTTGTCCCGGAATGACATGAGTTGGTCACGAATGGGAGTAAGGGTCTACTGAATGGGATCGGGTGGTGGGGCTCGGTGATCATGACGTGTCTCAATGCGCGTCTTCGTATCCTGACGGCTTGGACCGTTACTCGTGCTTTCAGTCACTGGTTTGTGCAACCCAGACACTATTATTGGCTGTATAGCTGTGATATTACTGACTGTGGAGTTAAACACTCACTCACTCACTCAGACCGGCTTTTGATAGTGAGATTGGTTTGATGCCGAATTATGCATTATTGTCGATGCTGTTGGGTCCGAGGCAGGAATCCACTGGGCATTCTGAATGTTCAATATATAAAGTACTTTTAGTATTAGACAATACGTGGCATTCCTGAGCAACTCGTTCTTTTCGGGGACAAGCCAAATTCTTTTTAGGTCACGGGAAGATGCGAATGGGTACGAATGAATACGTGGGTGTATTCGGGGGCAGTATATGGAGCACGGAAAGTGACGAAGATTCCCGAATGATTATTTCAGACATGGCACACTGGCATGGCAGCGGAGGCACAGAAGATGGTGGAGGACTGTTTTTGGGCGCAGAGGCCCCGGTCAGAGATGAAGGACTTGGTGGAAGGGTTTACACGGGTTGCCCAGAATATCTACATGTCTCCAAGTACGATAACATTCCTAGTCGAATGAGTGTGTGCGTTAGTTTACTGAACTCCACTTTGAGCAGTGTTTCAGTTATATCACGGCGTGTAAGCTTGGGGTGAAAGGAGGTGAGGTGAAATAGGGTTTAACGTCGCGTCCAGGATTATTGCACTTATATACCGACGTGCATGCACGTGTGTGTGTGTGTGGCTGCTTGTACTAGTCCTGTCTGATACCGATTAATAGTGCTAGCTCACTGAGATACCATGCCGCAGTTTAGCATGAATACCCCACTCAGACACAGTATACTGACTCCGAGCCGACCAGTCCCTGAATTAACCCCTTAATGCCGAGCGCCAGACAGGGTAACAAGTACCATCTTTTACGTCTTTTGGTATGACGCGGCCGGGGATTAAACCCCGGACCTGCCGCTCTCCGGGCGGACGCTCTTCCACTAGACCACGGAGGCGGTCTGAGGTGGAAGGAAAGCCTAAACTGACCCAGCTCTCAGACGTTTACCATTTCAGTGAAACCCACAAGCACCAGAACGGTGCTGACAAACCAGGCATTGTTATTTGGGATTCGAACTCGAGAAAATTTCCAGTGGACATACATGATCTCGATTGTACCTCAACCTTCCTATTGCCTATTCCTCATTCTGAATGACTTTCTAAATTGAGATTGCTATAGCTTATTTATACAATTAACTATATCAGTGTAATTAAAATGGTGGATCCGCCCTTGGTTTCAATAGCTCCCCCTATTCTACCTTTTTACTTCAGATTTTGTTTGTTTTTTGTTTGTTTGTTTAACGCCGCACTCAGCAATATTCCAGCTATATGACGGCGGTCTGTAAATAATCGAGTCTGGACCAGACAATCCAGTGATTAATATCATGAGCATCGATCTAGGCAATTGGGATCGATGACATGCATCAACCAAGTCAGCGAGCCTGACCACCCGATCCTGTTAGTCGCCTTTTACGTCAAGCATAGTCACCTTTTACGGCAAGCATGGGATGCTGAAGACCTATTCTACCCCGGAATCTTCACGGGTCTCTTTACTTCAGACTTGACCAGCATGGAGGCTGTTGCAGCTACGTGGGCCGGTGAGAAACACCATTACCAGTACCAGACGGGTCTGTGCAACAAGATGTGCTGGAACTACAAACAGGTACGTCTTCCCCTGTAGAGTGAGTGGTTGAGTGAGTGGTTGAGTGAGTGGTTGAGTGAGTGAGTGGTTGAGTGAGTAAGTGGTTGAGTGAGTGAGTGAGTGAGTGGGCGGTTGGGTGAGTGAGTGAGTGAGTGAGTGATTGAGTGAGTGAGAGAGTGAGATGAGTTTAACGTCGCTTTGACGTATTCCAGTGTCAGCTTAAGGTTAGGGGAAAGCCCGAATTGATACAGGTCTCAGACGTTGACCACTTTGGTGAAACCCACAAGCATGGGTATGGCGCTGACAGTTTCTTTTGTACAGAGTTCTCGAGTCCACCGTGAACGGCTGACTAGGAGAGTGCACGTGGTTAAAGCGTTCTCTCGTCAGGGGTTCGATTCCCTGAGTACAATGTGAGAATGTCCACAGATGGCGTGTGCAGCTGTAATATAGCTATATCCTGCTTAAATCTGCGAAAACCCATACTCACAGTTACTCACTGTTTTATCAAAGTCGGACGACAGATAAAACGAACCAAAATTATTATGTATTTATATACGAATTCGAAGATAGTGAATTCGAACTATAGGCATCCGGTGCTCATGGGACGATGCGTAAATTTTAACCTCACTTTCCCGAGTTCCATACACCTTGACACAGACGCATGATCAGGTTTATACATCATCCGCTGGTTTAAGTCCAGTTGTATTTCCGGGTTAGAGTAGTATTGTTCCCTAGCAACCAATGATTGCCATAAAAGGTGACCGAATGGTAATAGATCGGGTGGTCGGGCTCGGTGACCCTGTTGACTCAGCACGTGTCATCGTACCCCGACGGCGTGTGTTGTTGTTCATGATATCAATCACTGGATTGCCTGGCAGAGGGTTAGCCTAATGGTTAAGGTGTTCGCTCGTAATGTGTACAGTGTGTGAAGGCCATTTCAAGGTGTCCCACGCTTTGATATTGCTGGAATATTGCTAAAAGTGGCGTAAAACCATACCCACTCACTATGGTAATGGGTTCAGTGTGTTAAGCCCATTTCTGGTGTCCCCCGTTGTGAAATTGCTGGAATATTGCTAAAAGCGGCGTAAAACCATACTCACTCACTCACATAATAGGTACAGTGTGTGAAGGCCATTTCCGGTGTCCCCCGCTGTGATATTGCTGGAATATTGCTAAAAGTGGCGTAAAACCATACCCACTCACTAAGGTAATGGGTTCAGTGTGTTAACCCCATTTCTGGTGTCCTCCGTTGTGATATTCCTGGAACACTGCTAAAAACGGCGTAAAAAAATAATCACTCCACTTTCTGTTGTAGGTAGTCTGGGCAAAGACACATTCCCTGGGGTGCGGCATCCGGTACTGCTCCGACCTCAAGAACGTACAACCTAAACAGGGGGGTTACCTCATTGCCTGTATGTACGGCCCAGCGTAAGTACCCGACCTTGAACTTTGACAGACGCTGACTGTCCATCATCAATGGTATTTTTGGGTAATGTTTTTAATTAAATAATGTTTACACAACGGCGACCAGGTTCTGTAAATCTTTCCTGTGAACCTTGATCAATTGTAATTATTTCGAAAAAAGTCCATTTGACACAGTTCAGTGTATGTTTCACTGTTATAATTATACAAATGCATATCCCGTTCCTTTACACATAATACACATAATCACCTGGTTGTTATCCCGTTCCTTTACACATAATACACATAATCACCTGGTTGTTATCCCGTTCCTTTACACATAATACACATAATCACCTGGTTGTTATCCCGTTCCTTTACACATAATACACATAATCACCTGGTTGTTATCCCGTTCCTTTACACATAATACACATAATCACCTGGTTGTTATCCCGTTCCTTTACACATAATACACATAATCACCTGGTTGTTGTCCTACCCATTCTGTTCCATAACAGTGGCAACATAGGCAACAGAAGGCCTTACACTCACGGGGACGTCCCCTGCAACAACTGCACCAGCGACTTCCCGTACTGCTACGACGGCCTCTGCAGTGAGTATGCACACCCTATTCCGTGTAGTATTTCCGCTATTATCCCGTGAAGTATTTCAATATAGCGGGGATAGGGAGAAGGGGTGTGTGATATAAAGCATATAGTGTAATGTACAAGTTCTATATCACCCTCGTGTTGTATACCATTTAATTACTATTTTAAAGTCATAGTTTTATATTTATGTACTGGTTAAATGTTTTCACCATGTTGAATGTCATTGAATGGTTAACTGAAAGAATGTTGTTGTTTACAGGTAAGGTTGAGCCACCCCCCGAACGTAAGTAAACACAGTCAATAACGTTAGGCAGCAACAACTTGATTATTGGTTCTCCGGATATCATTTGTCCACAGTGTTGAGTTGATGCAGTAACTGTTATTTTTTTCCACAAAAAAAAAGAAATGTTCATGAAAACGAAATTTTATAGTCAGTTGAAGTGTGTATCTTATGTGTACGGTTCATAATAAAACAGAATTCTATAATCGGTATTTAAGCCAGTTGACGGGTACATCTTATGTGTACAGTTCATAATAAAAACACAATTTTAAAGTCAGTATTTAAGCCAGTTGGCGTGTGTATCTTATGTGTACCGTTCATAATAAAAACAGAATTTTAAAGTCAGTATTTAAGCCAGTTGACGTGTGTATCTTATGTGTACGGTTCATAATAAAAACAGAATTCTATAATCGGTATTTAAGCCAGATGACGTGTGCATCTTATGTGTACGGTTCATAATAAAAACAGAATTCTATAATCGGTATTTAAGCCAGTTGACGTGTGCATCTTATGTGTACGGTTCATAATAAAAACAGAATTTTAAAGTCGCGGTATTTAAGCCAGTTGAAGTGTCCATCTTATGTGTACTGTTCATAATAAAAACAGAATTCTATAATCGGTATTTAAGCCAGTTGACGTGTGCATCTTATGTGTACGGTTCATAATAAAAACAGAATTTTAAAGTCGGTATTTAAGCCAGTTGAAGTGTGCATCTTATGTGTACTGTTCATAATAAAAACAGAATTCTATAATCGGTATTTAAGCCAGTTGACGTGTGCATCTTATGTGTACGGTTTATAATAAAAACAGAATTTTAAAGTCGCGGTATTTAAGCCAGTTGACGTGTGCATCTTATGTGTACGGTTCATAATAAAAACAGAATTTTAAAGTCGGTATTTAAGCCAGTTGACGTGTGTATCTTATGTGTACGGTTCATAATAAAAACAGAATTCTATAATCGGTATTTAAGCCAGTTGACGTGTACATCTTATGTATACGGTTCATAATAAAAACAGAATTTTATAGTCGCGGTAATTAAGCCAGTTGAAGTGTGTATCTTATGTGTACGGTTCATAATAAAAACAGAATTTTAAAGTCGGTATTTAAGCCGGTTGGCGTGTGTATCTTATGTGTACTGTTCATAATAAAAACAGAATTCTATAATCGGTATTTAAGCCAGTTGACGTGTACATCTTATGTATACGGTTCATAATAACAACAGAATTTTATAGTCGCGGTAATTAAGCCAATTGAAGTGTGTATCTTATGTGTACGGTTCATAATAAAAACAGAATTCTATAATCGGTATTTAAGCCAGTTGACGTGTGTATCTTATGTGTACGGTTTATAATAAAAACTGAATTTTAAAGTCGCGGTATTTAAGCCAGTTAAAATGTGCATCTTATGTATACGGTTCATAATAAAAACAGAATTTTAAAGTCGCGGTATTTAAGCCAGTTGACGTGTGCATCTTATGTGTACAGTTCATAATAAAAACAGAATTTTAAAGTCAGTATTTAAGCCAGTTGACGTGTGCATCTTATGTGTACGGTTCATAATAAAAACAGAATTTTAAAGTCAGTATTTAAGCCAGTTGACGTGTGTATCTTATGTGTACGGTTCATAATAAAAACAGAATTCTATAATCGGTATTTAAGCCAGTTGACGTGTGCATCTTATGTGTACGGTTCATAATAAAAACAGAATTTTAAAGTCGCGGTATTTAAGCCAGTTGAAGTGTCCATCTTATGTGTACTGTTCATAATAAAAACAGAATTCTATAATCGGTATTTAAGCCAGTTGACGTGTGCATCTTATGTGTACGGTTCATAATAAAAACAGAATTTTAAAGTCGGTATTTAAGCCAGTTGAAGTGTGCATCTTATGTGTACTGTTCATAATAAAAACAGAATTCTATAATCGGTATTTAAGCCAGTTGACGTGTGCATCTTATGTGTACGGTTTATAATAAAAACAGAATTTTAAAGTCGCGGTATTTAAGCCAGTTGACGTGTGCATCTTATGTGTACGGTTCATAATAAAAACAGAATTTTAAAGTCGGTATTTAAGCCAGTTGACGTGTGTATCTTATGTGTACTGTTCATAATAAAAACAGAATTCTATAATCGGTATTTAAGCCAGTTGACGTGTACATCTTATGTATACGGTTCATAATAAAAACAGAATTTTATAGTCGCGGTAATTAAGCCAGTTGAAGTGTGTATCTTATGTGTACGGTTCATAATAAAAACAGAATTTTAAAGTCGGTATTTAAGCCAGTTGGCGTGTGTATCTTATGTGTACTGTTCATAATAAAAACAGAATTCTATAATCGGTATTTAAGCCAGTTGACGTGTACATCTTATGTATACGGTTCATAATAAAAACAGAATTTTATAGTCGCGGTAATTAAGCCAGTTGAAGTGTGTATCTTATGTGTACGGTTCATAATAAAAACAGAATTTTATAATCGGTATTTAAGCCAGTTGACGTGTGCATCTTATGTGTACGGTTTATAATAAAAACAGAATTTTAAAGTCGCGGTATTTAAGCCAGTTAAAATGTGCATCTTATGTGTACGGTTCATAATAAAAACAGAATTTTAAAGTCGCGGTATTTAAGCCAGTTGACGTGTGCATCTTATGTATACGGTTCATAATAAAAACAGAATTTTATAGTCGCGGTAATTAAGCCAGTTGAAGTGTGTATCTTATGTGTACGGTTCATAATAAAAACAGAATTTTAAAGTCGGCATTTAAGCCAGTTGGCGTGTGTATCTTATGTGTACGGTTCATAATAAAAACAGAATTTTAAAGTCGCGGTATTTAAGCCAGTTGACGTGTACATCTTATGTATACGGTTCATAATAAAAACAGAATTTTATAGTCGCGGTAATTAAGCCAGTTGAAGTGTGTATCTTATGTGTACGGTTCATAATAAAAACAGAATTTTAAAGTCGGCATTTAAGCCAGTTGGCGTGTGTATCTTATGTGTACTGTTCATAATAAAAACAGAATTCTATAATCGGTATTTAAGCCAGTTGACGTGTACATCTTATGTATACGGTTCATAATAAAAACAGAATTTTATAGTCGCGGTAATTAAGCCAGTTGAAGTGTGTATCTTATGTATACGGTTCATAATAAAAACAGAATTTTATAGTCGCGGTAATTAAGCCAGTTGAAGTGTGTATCTTATGTGTACGGTTCATAATAAAAACAGAATTCTATAATCGGTATTTAAGCCAGTTGACGTGTGCATCTTATGTGTACGGTTTATAATAAAAACAGAATTTTAAAGTCGGTATTTAAGCCAGTTGGCGTGTGTATCTTATGTGTACGGTTTATAATAAAAACAGAATTTTAAAGTCAGTATTTAAGCCAGTTGACGTGTGCATCTTATGTGTACGGTTCATAATAAAAACAGAATTTTAAAGTCAGTATTTAAGCCAGTTGACGTGTGCATCTTATGTGTACGGTTCATAATAAAAACAGAATTTTAAAGTCAGTATTTAAGCCAGTTGACGTGTGTATCTTATGTGTACGGTTTATAATAAAAACAGAATTCTATAATCGGTATTTAAGCCAGTTGACGTGTGCATCTTATGTGTACGGTTCATAATAACAAGAATTCTATAATCGGTATTTAAGCCAGTTGACGTGTGCATCTTATGTGCATGGTTCAAAAACACAGAATTTAAGTCAGTCGTTAAGCCAGTTGACGATGCGGTTGGTATCGATGATGAATTTAACAATGGGTTACCATTGAATGAAACTACAGGGTTGAAAGATGCTTCGCGGATCCTTGGTCTTGAGGTCTAGATTTACGTTTGTGATACACTGCGATCGTTGGAATTTCATTATAAAAGCACCATAAAATCATTGATGAATCCGAGACACGAATAATCAAATTGTTGTGTCGTTGTTACTATGTCAGTATTAGTCGAAACACAGGTGTGAGATATTTCTTCAAATGCGTGTCTTCAAACACGTTTTTGTTGTGATTTCATATGTCCGATTTTATATGTCGCTGTTCTATCCAGCTAATACTTCGACAACGACAACGACAACGACAACGACAACTACAACGAAAACATCAACGACACAAGGGAGTGAGTGTGAAAGAAAACGCTTGAAAGTAGTTTGATAGAAAATCTTTTTTTTTTGCTGACCAGGACTAGATGATAGAATGTTTGAATTTCAGTAACAACTGCTGCTACTCCTACACCTATTACTACCACTACTACTTCTACTGCTGCTAATACTACAACTGCTGTTGTTATTGTTATTACTCATGCTGGCACTAATACTGCTATTACCACCTTCATTAATATTTCTAGACCTTTTTTCTACTACCCATTGTTGTTATTATTATTAGTATTTACAGATAAAAATAAATAAAGCAGCACAGAGGGTTTGGGTGATCCCGGCACAGACAGGCCGGTTAGGCGGATCATCAGCCCAGGGCCCTTGCCCCCTCTACACGCAGCCCAGACAGTGAATGGGACTTCTTCCAGGAAGCGCTGCCAAGTCAAACCCACCCAGAACTTTTCGGAGAATGTGAAGACTCCCCAACACTGCAGCCTTCTGCATTACCCAGATTGTCAGAGGGGCTGTATTCCTGGTAGCAAACCCGGCTACTCTCCCAATGTCAGTCAACAGATTGGGAGGTACCAAACCTAAGGCACCGAGACCAATTGGGAGTCGGACAACTTGGTACTTGGGATGCAAGCGTGACATTTCGAAAGCGAGGTCCGCATATTTGCCATGTTTTTCCTCAGTCTTGTCAATCACATTAGTGTCAAAAGGAACAGAAAATTCAATGATATTAATGATTTCATTGGATTTATATAAAAAAAGGACAAGGTCAGGTTTGTTGGCCTGGATACGTCAGAGGCTGTATACGGGCCTATTCCAAAGAATTTTGTATTTATCATTTTCCACGACGACCTTCTATATATTCCGGGTCGTACCATGGATGGACCTCACAGCCACAAGCATGGCGAAGACAGTAATAAAAGGGTCGAGCCATTCCATGATGTCGCTTGAGATACTGTGTTTGTGCCAAAGCGGGGCATCCGCTGACAATGTGTTGGACAGTGTCATTAAATCATAATCTACTTTTCATATTTACATTTTGATGCAAATTCACACAATGACGGTTTCGAGTTGGAAGTGACTGGTCCTGAGCAGCAAACAGAAAGCCTTCTGTTTCATTTTTCAGGCCAGACGACTTCATCCAAGCGAAGGACTCTGCAGGGTTGCTGTTCTTTAGTTTATCGATATTACTTCTGTTGTTACCTTGGTTACTACTACTACTACTACTACTACTACTACTACTACTACTACTACTACTACTGCTACTACTACTACCACTACTACTACAAATTTACTACTACTAACTATTCTTACTTTTGCTCCTGATGTTACTGCTACTGTTACTGCTACTACTACTACTACTACTACTAATGCTATTGTTACTACTACTACTACTACTACTACTACTACTACTACTACTACTACTACTACCACTACTACTACCACTACTACTACAACCACCACTATCATTTTCAATGTTACTTCTTTTATTGATACCACTACCACCAGTACTACTGCTAAAACGTAATATCGAAATCCGTTCTTTCAAGATTGCATTTCTAACAAAGCTCACCCATCTCACGTTTACTGTTTCTCTTACTATAGCGACTACAAGAAAGGTCACAGTAGGATCTTCCAGTCGGACCCGCCCATTCATTGTCGGCTACGTCTGCATGTTCCTCCTCGCCCGGCTTCTGTCCCGGGTTCTGGGGTGACCGCAGCCAAAGGACATAGCTACTATGGAACAAATGAACGTTGGTTTTATGTTACCATGGAAACAAAAGTTTTAGATTTTTTTCTTCTAGGACGCCGTCAACCCCCTAATAAATATCAACAGTGCAATGAATATGCCTCGTTAGCAAGTCATGGTACATAGTTATTTTGTGTCCATTCGAGAGTAAGATTTCTTTTCCGGATTTTAATACACAACAAGGGCAGGTAACTCTATTCATACGTCATAACGAAGCAATCCTATCGGTGACACCCTCGTTATCCTATAGGTATTCACGGCTCCAGGACAGGGTATCGCTGTCTGTGTGGAGCTTGATCAGTCACCTGACAACATTTGTGTCCATTCGTGACCAACTCGTGTTATTCCGGGACAAGCCGAATCTTCTTGCAGGTTACGGAAAGGGGCGAGTGGTGACGAATGCATTTGTGACGTTATGAAAAATACGTTATCGCGCAATTTGTTTCCTGTATGCAAAGAGACAGTACAAGTCTTCAGGTTTCACTCGAAGAGTTGTTTTCTCTGATTCCAAGTATCGCTATAGAAGACAGAATAAGTAAGGTTACAAAATCTTTGTTTGCATACGTTTGAGCATACACAAGTATATTAATCTTAACTGCGACATTTTTACTGTTATATAAACTGCCGGGTAACAGAAAATATTCACCTGAAAGTTGGCCAAAATATTACAAACGTCAACAAAACGTTACTTGGCTAAATGTAAGGTATCTTTGAACCTACGTAAACTGATCATGACAATACTATTACATCAGCATCGATTATTGTTTCTTGTTTGTTTCATTTTTTAACCACAATCAAACATGGATGTCTACTTTCTTTTGCCCGGCAGATTATATTCTTTTTGCGCAGCATTTACTTTTTGAGAATATTTGTAGTTTTTTATAGAAATTTTTCTACGTGGAGGACTGCCTTAAAAGATGCAGTAGTTTACATCCTCTAGTTTAAAACGTATTATATAAGTTTATTATGCCTGTATAGTTAACTAGACGAGAAATATGGATGTAGGAGAACATTTGTTTCTGTAAATATGTGCCGAAAGATGTGATATGAATAAATTATTTTTGTTATATTTCATCTTGATATTTTAATAAAACGATCCTGTAACAAAAGTCCCGTAGATCCTGTTATACAAGCACCACAGAGACGTGCTTTTATACAAGCACCGTCTGTGAGACGAACCTGTTCTACAAGACCAGCAGTCCCGTAGAGACGATTATGTTACACAAGCCCCGTAGACACGACCATGTTACACAAGCCCCGTAGACACGACCATGTTACACAAGCCCCGTAGAGACGATCATGTTACACAAGCCCCGTAGAGACGATTATGTTACACAAGCCCCGTAGAGACGATCATGTTACACTAGCCCCGTAGAGACGATCATGTAACACTAGCCCCGTAGAGACGATCATGTTACACAAGCCCCGTAGAGACGATCATGTTACACAAGAACCGTAGAGACGATCATGTTACACAAGAACCGTAGAGACGATCATGTTACACTAGCCCCGTAGAGACGATCATGTTACACTAGCCCCGTAGAGACGATCATGTTACACAAGAACCGTAGAGACGATCATGTTACACAAGCCCCGTAGAGACGATTATGTTACACAAGCCCCGTAGAGACGATCATGTTACACTAGCCCCGTAGAGACGATCATGTTACACTAGCCCCGTAGAGACGATCATGTTACACAAGCCCCGTAGAGACGATCATGTTACACAAGAACCGTAGAGACGATCATGTTACACAAGAACCGTAGAGACGATCATGTTACACAAGCCCCGTGGAGACGATCCTGTTACACAAGCCCCGCAGAGACGATTATGTTACACAAGAACCGTAGAGACGATCCTGTCACAAAAGCTCCGTAGAGACGATAGATGGATAGATACATTTGGTTGACACATCTCTGTAGTAACAGAGACACAGTGCTGGTTACCTGGCAACAAATAAACCGATCATATAAGGCTGCCAAGATTTTTTTAGAAAACGTAAACTTTGTAACTTAACTGCACTAAAACCGAGTTTAAGGTTTAAGATTTAAGGTTGGAATATATTATTCCTGATAAAAAAAAATAGTTTCAGATACAATTTTTGCCGATTCTTGCATTAAAATCCTGTATAGTTATATCATTGGGTGTGTCTTGGCACTATACTCAAGAAAATACGGTATATTAGTTTGTTGTCCCTCTTGTGACTGTCATGCAATTGTACCTCGAACCTAATATCTATCTAAACCCTAACATTGAACATTGAACATGCTTTAACACAACAAATAAAAAAAATATAATTAATATTGGGAAATATTTGTATTATGCATATGAAAAAAGAATTGTTTGATAGGCATTACTTAGAAGTTGGCGGATGACAAGATAGACACAATTTTATCTATAACTTCTTTAATACTGTTAAAAGCGACATTTCGGTATAGATCCTTATACCGTTATCCCACTCATATATGCAATTGTTGTTACTGTTAATCTTCTACTGATAATCCTCCACCTACTATATATATTCTGTACTAAGTCCCTCATTCAGTCTTGCTTGACAACGGTGTAAGGATCTATACCGAAACGTCGCTTTTTACAGTTTTAAAGAAGTTGTTATCCATAAAATTGTGTCTACCTTGTCATGAAATAAGAAATCCATATTTTCCTATGGTATTACACTATGGGGACCTCCACTATGTGATTTACACACATAGATGTGATACACGCTGCTAGGGTTACAGGCCGGCAAAGCCACATTTCGAAAATAGATAGTCCAAGTACATGTGGCTCTCGCGGCAATGGTTATGGTTGCGTGAGTGTATAATGTGGCTCTCGCGGCTATGCTGTCAAAACATGCTTTGTGATTCTAGGTACTAGAGGGAGGGCAGCAACTCTTCTCACCAGCTTCTTCACCTCCTTATCTTCCTTATAGTCCATCACCAGACCTTCTTTCTGCACCCTCCTCCAGATACATTGGGTGAAGTGAAAGAAACACCCTCTAACTAATGTCCCGGGAAATGTTCAATGTTCTTGTCTGTAGTGAAGATGAGGATGTAATTTAAATGTGGGACACTCATTTAAAGGTATCGGTAATCGGATTAATTAATTACCCGCTAGAATAGGTGAAATGCTCTCAGCTGAAAATGTGGCTCTACCGGCAATAGCCATTTCTGAACTGTGGCTCTCCCGGCTAGACACCGCTGCTAGTGGGGTCGAATATCCTCATGATACCCCACTGAGTCATACTGGGGGAATCCCATTGACAGTAACAGCGCCAGCGCTCGGGATGGTGAGCGAGGTGACCCAGGCATTGTGAGAAGGACTCTATTCACACTATTCACACGGCAGGTGGAGATACCACGCTGGGATGTTTACTTAATGCTTAAGAACATATAGAGTAAAATTATTTAAGCATCCTCTAATATATGTCTTCTTTGCTCGGATTCGGCTGTGTGACTGAACCGCAGGTGAGTACGTGTTAATTAGTACGTGACAACGTTATAATGAGGCATGGGCGTAGAGTAAAGCGGTGGATTATTACGTTCTTTGACAAAAGCAACCCTAGTCACGATGGCTGTTGGTCACATCACTGAATAAGCCCTGTGTGGGGTTGTGTGTCGTCGAGTATTGTGAAACTGAAATTAGATCGACTCGTATATATAATGCACTCGATGTACATATATCAAACATGGCGTCAGTATAACATTAATTTTGTACCCAACTTTAACAAATCCAGCTTTCGTACTCAGTCATCATTACTTCTATATGTCACATAAAACAGTCACGACACCTTTTGAAATTCGCGACAAAGGGTATGTGGTAACGCATGTCAATATCGGATATTGCCCGCCGTGATCAACCTGGGCGAACTCCCGTTCCACATTTCAGTGTCAACGAAGCGTGGAAATCAACAAGGTCACGTGACATTTTCATAGCATAAACAAAACTCACTGGACCGTATCAATTCCACGTGAGTTATGAATACCTTACGATCTACATAAAGTATGACACCCTGATTGACAAGGGTATCTGTGGAGGGAAGGTTGTTCATTACGGGTGCCCATGCGTGTTGAACAGGTAGGTGTTTTTGGTTGGTGGTAGAGGCTCTATATGCATAAAAATTATTATATATAATTTATTACTTGCCCGTGATAGTCAGTTGGCCACCAGCGGAAAAGAGGCTTAGTTTAGATTTTCGTTCCCACATTTTCCTGTATACCTTAAACCTTTTCTATTGCATAAAGCAGGTATCTGTACACAACTTTCATTGGGTAGTAAGCTTGCAAGTGTGTGCAGGAATTTTCAGGGGGTCAAAATTGCATAAATTGAAGGAAAAATGCATAATTTGACGAAATTGGCTGTAACAATGTTATTAAGTCATTAAACTATCCAAATTATGTCTTTGATTACAGGTAATATGTTCGGTTATCTGAATTAGGCAAACATTTTGTTTTATTTAACTGTTATTCTAATTCTCACTGGAAACATTGGTAAAAATCATGTTGTTTTACTTCATTTTCAAATCTTGTGAGTAGGTAAAACACTAATTCCATTGAATTGTGACAATAAAACCACTATAACTGGGTATTAAAATCTGCCTTAACCATTGTACTATCCTATACAAAAAACAAAATGAAAATATATTACATAGGGGTTGAGATATTGTATACAATGTTACCCCAATCCCCCAAAACCAATTTTGACGAAAATTGCTTATTGAGATATGGTGGTGGATGATGTTGTTGTAGTGGATGAGTGGGATAATTTCAACAATGCTTAAAAACACAAAAATAGTAAACTCATAAAGAAAAATGATGTTTCAAGTTTTTCTGTGTGCATTTATGGTGGCCATCTTGAATTTCAAGATGGCTGCCATTTTGACCTGTTTTCAAAATCAAGATCTTATATAGTTCTTCAACATGGTCATGTAATATATCATATGAAAGAATTTTACATTGTCTTTTCAATGATGTACACTATTCACTGACTCCTGTGGTAAATTGATCCCCAACAATGAAAAAAGGAAGCATTGAAAGCTAACGACTTCAAACCATACCCAAATTTAGATTTCAATTAAAATGGACATATTTTCACTCAAAATTGTAGATATACAGCACTTTTGTCTGAGCATTTCACTAGTTTATAATTTGAGGTAAGAAACAAACATGAGAATACTTGTAGTATTATGAAGTATTAAAAATAAAATGTGAAATAATGTCATCTCTAGTCACCGTCAGAGAGGTAGGTAATTTAAATTGTTTCTGTTTAGGCATTATACATAGCACAACTGCATCCAAGGGAACATCCCATGATGTTCTTGGCGCAGCTACACCTGATTGAGGAGCATCTGCCTGTTGTGCATTTGCAGGTGAGCAATTCTAGACACAGTGCTGGCAATCATTCCTGGGTCATTGGGGTGGGTTCTATGACATCGTTTGTCCACCTATACCCTTCTGGTGGTGGAATGTCAGCCTTTCCTTTGTGTGCAGAACACCATGTGATGCACTGGTGCTGACATCTGAGTAGAGGTTGTGTGGTGGGAGTTCCTCTAGGTCTCCAACTCTGTGGAACATGTCAGCTGTAAGTGTATTAATGCTAGTTGCAGTCGATGCTGGATTGTACACTTTGATGACAAGTGAGTCTGTCTCTTTCATGTTGAAGACACCAGTTTCTTCTGTTGGTTGCAACAAATATGGTTGTGTGATAAATATGTTCCAGGTCCACAACCTGTGACCGCATGGAATGATGGTAGAGCTGCTTCAACATCTGAGAGAATGAGAGATTGATGTAAATCATCAACTGATATGCACCCATTCATATCTGAGCAGAAAACCGATGTTTATGTTTCAGCTGTACTAACACATCAGTGTTTCGGCTGTGAATGACTCTGTGGTCGTATCCATTGCAGGAGGCATCCATGACATTGATCATCATTCGTGTAGCTGCCTCTTTATGTGTTGACAGTAGATTTGGCATTGCTTCAGACTGATCTGTGGAAGATACTGCTGTATCTGGGCTGCTTAATCCACCTGCAATGATGATGATTTGATGATTATGATGGAGATGCTGTGCCTATGTGTGCAATTCTGTGGTCAAGAATTGTATCAAATTTTGCTTGTTCATTTCAATAAAACTGGACAATGAAGCCAGCAGAAGGATGTCTCATTTATCTATTATTCTTCAAATTTTCTTTGATCGATCACCTCTTTTTGTCCGAGTTGCAGATTTTACTGACTTTGCAACATATTGGTCAAAGCCATCATCGACTTAAGTACAAGTTTCACTGAAGTTCTTCAGCACATTCCAATTGAAAACATCAGCGAAATCTCCAAAGGTCCTAGCTTTGCTTGGTTTGCCTATAGCCTGTACAAGAGCCATGCCAGAGATAACAATGCATGTTGTGTCATCAGTTGATGGTAGCATGAGAATCTGCTAGCAAATGTGATAATGCAGCTTTGTTGTACAAAGCAGGCCATCTGTTGTTGCCAGGGAAGGTGGGGTCTGGGACAGCTCATGTGTTAGAAGATGTGGTACGTTTACTTCTCTTTCACTGTTGGTGGCACTCAGCAACCTTCTGAAAAGTTTTCTTCCTTGCTTAAAGGTATAGGTTTGAGTTGACTTCTTTGATACCTGCATGGTGTACAGTGCGGAACATGTACTGTTGGAAATATTTTCTGATATTTTGTCATGAATACTCTAAGCATTATCCGCCAATCGATTGTCAATGAACTCTGACAAAAGCTTGTCACCTCGATTCATACCATGATGATGTAATATCTTCCTTAGATCAATCTGCAGCAATACCAAATCTACCAAATCAGATATAGATGGGTGCAGGTACTGCAAAGGACCCTCTATTCATACAAGTTCATGATGTACATCAATCTCTCACTCAAGATGTTGTAGCAACTCTACCAGCATTCCATGCGGTCATGGTTGTGACACAACAAGCCAGTTCAGTGGTTATGGCAAGAAGTCGACCTGGAACATATTTATCGCACAACCAGATTTGTTGCAACCAACAGAAGAAACTGGTGCCATCAACATGAAAAAGACAGAAACATTTGTCGTCAAAGTGTACAATCCAGCATCGACTGCATCTAGCACTAATTTTAATACACTTACAGCTGACATGTTCCACAGAGTTGGAGACCTAGAGGAACTCCCACCACACAACCTCTACTCAGATGTCAGCATCAGTGCATCACGTGGTGTTCTGCACACAAAGGAAAGGCTGACATTCCACCACCAGAAGAGAATAGGCGGTCTTCTACTGAGGATGTCATAGAACCCACCCCAATGACCCAGAAACGAATGCCAGCACTGTGTCTAGAATTGCTCACCTGTAAATGCACAACAGGCAGATGCTCCTCATCCAGGTGTAGCGCCAAGAACAAATGGTATGTTCCCTTGGATGCAGTTGTGCTATGTCATGCCTAAACAGAACAACTTACCTACCTTTCCAGAAGAGATGGACTCTGACGGTGACTAGAGATGACATTATTTCACAGCCCTTGACTCTGTGATTTAATTTTTAATACTTCATAATACTACAAGTATTCTCATGTTTTTTTCACTCAAACGATAAACTAGTGAAATGTTCAGACAAAAGTGCAGTATATCTACATTTTTGAGTGAAACAATGTCCATTTTATTAAAATACGACTTTGGAGGTTGGTTAGTGTTGCCAGAGAAATTAGCTTTCAATATATCATTTGTTATATTATTGGGGGATTACCACAGAAGTCAGTGAAAAGACAATGTAATAAAGCTTTCATATGATATATTACATGACCGTGTTGAAGAACTAAAGTGCAGTATATCTACAATTTTGAATGAAAATATGTCCATTTCAATTAATATCTAAATTTGGGTATGGGTTGAAGACATGAGAGAAATTGGATTTCAATATTTCCTTTTTTCATTGTTTGGGGTCAATTTACCACAGGAGTCAGTGAATAATGTACATCATTGAAAAGACAATGTAAAAATCTTTCATATGATATATTACATGACCATGTTGAAGAACTATATAAGATCTTGATTTTGAAAACAGGTCAAAATGGCAGCCATCTTGAAATTCAAGATGGCCACCATAAATGCACACAGAAAAACTTGAAACATCATTTTTCTTTATGTGTTTACTATTTTTGTGTTTTTAAGCATAGTTGCAATTATCCCCCTCATCCACTACAGCAACATCATCTACCACCATATCTCAATAAGCAATTTTCGTCAAAATTGGTTTTGGGGGATTGGGGTAACATTGTATACAATATCTCAACCCCTATGTAATATATTTTCATTTTGTTTTTTGTATAGGATAGTACAATGGTTAAGGCAGATTTTAATACCCAGTTATAGTGGTTTTATTGTCACAATTCAATGGAATTAGTGTTTTACCTACTCACAAGATTTGAAAATGAAGTAAAACAACATGATTTTTACCAATGTTCCCACTGAGAATTAGAATAACAGTTAAATAAAACAAAATGTTTGTCTAATTCAGATATCCGAACATATTACCTGTAATAAAAGACATAATTTGGATAGTTTAATGACTTAATAAAATTGTTACAGCCAATTTCGTCAAATTATGCATTTTTCCTTCAATTTATGCAATTTTGACCCCCTGAATATTCCTGCACACACTTGCAATCTTACTACCCAATGAAAATTGTGTACAGATACCTGCTTTATGCAATAGAAAAGGTTTAAGGTATACAGGAAAATGTGGGAACGAAAATCTTGTTTTTCACCCCTGGCCAACTGACTATGAAGAGATCACCCGTTTAATAAACGTACAGCTGTATTACACATTGTGTAATACCAAAACGCGTGCTTATGTACTCTCGGAACACGTTTCACGAACAAATATTGAAAGCTCTCAACATCCCTTGGCTTATTCAACGACATTGCGTGTAGAGTTGATAGATCACTGAGAGGAGCTTATGCACACTCGATGACCCCAGCAACTTTGTTTCTAGGCTGACGTCACATGGCATTGTTTCGCCGATGGATCTTGCAACAAAATTCCACAATTTACGTCATCGGGTATTGTGACGTGATTGTAAACTTTGAGGTGCAAGGCCCGTTCCACAAGGCGATCGTATTATAGCGCAACGACAGTCGTTAGGCTAAGTTAAAGTATGTGAGTTGCGATAGTCTTAGCCCTACGATAATTTTGTTGAACGGACACCTGAATTCTAAAGGTGGGCCGTTGTATGGTATTAAATTCATACGTTTCAACTACGTGTTTAAAGTATTATTCTGTTAAACTCAATTGGACTATGCCGTGGATCGTGTAGGTGTCAGCCTGTTCATACCCAACAGTAAAATTCTAAAAACGTTATAAATGGCAAGTAATAAATAAAATACTAAACTCGCTCCCGTGTAAAACCAATTTTATGAAACTCGTGATAGTTGTGATATCTGATCTCGCTTTCGCTCGTCAGATACCACAACTATTCACTCGTTTCATAAATTAGTATTACACGGGAGCTCGTTTAGTATTCTATATATCTCCCGGTTAGTGAGTGAATGTGAATTTACGCCGCTGTCAACTCAATCCAGCTCTATCACGGCGGCCTGTAAAATTTCAACTTGGTGTCAGAACAAACCCGTTATTAACTGAACGAGAATCTAGATATTCTGTCAGGGCACATTGTCACACAACCAGCAGGCTGCACAATGGATATACCCCTGATTCACAGCGTATATAAATCAAATATACCTCCCCCCCCCCCCCCCCCCCCCCCCCCCCCCCACACACACACACACACACACACACACACACACACACACTCCCTTCCCACCGACCTCTACTTGATACACGTCACTGCGTTGTAACTATTGTCCTGTATCCTAGGTTTCCGGTGACTGGAAGCTAATTAGTCACACATACATCTACATGTAAACACATATAGACGAGAAGACGAGATCCCAGCTGACAACATGTCGGAGTCATTATCCTAGAGAAACAGAAGCTGTGGTGTAATTATAGAGATATTTTTTTCATGTAAGTCACATGCAGTCAAACTCATGTGATGAACACCTCTCAACCATTTCCGGGTTTGTAATTAGATGCCTGGTACATATGGGCGTGTTGTCGATAACATTGTGTGCAAATACAGACACGGATATATAATCGCCAGTGTGCAGGGATAAACAGAACTGTTTATATAATCAAATACGATCTAACATGAGATCTTAATGGCTATGTACAAGTGACGTATGGAACACGGAAGATAGTTTGGAGCATCACCCGGGAGTTTAACCCCCAGGTTGACAGGTTGACAGGTTGACAGTGACGTGAGTATACATCCCTCGGTGTGTGTGTGTGTGTGTCAAAAATACAATTTGAAACAAATGAAACAAATCATCATCCTATATTCATTAATACCCTTACCACTGACGACGTTGATAATACCACCCTTCTAGACCTATGGTCAGCATGTATGTCTTTGTTGTTTTACGTCATATGTAAATATTCGATTATCGACCGGACAAGCCATGCCAGTTATTGATATTATGAAGTGAGGTGATGTGAAATTGGGTTCAACGTCGCGTCCAAGATTATTGCACTGATATTGCGACGTGTGTGTGTGTGTGTGGCTGATGCCGATTTATAGTGCTAGCCCACTGAGATACCATGCCGCATTTTATCATGAATACCCCACTCAGACACAGTATACTGACTCCAAGCCGACCAGTCCTTGTTTTAGCCCCTAATGCCGAGCGTAACAACAAGTACCATCTTTTAACGTCTTTTGGTGTGACGCGGCCGGGGACCGAACCCCGGACCTTCGGCTCTCCGGGCGGACGCTCTACCACTAGACCACGGAGGCGGTCTGATATTATGACACGCAATTATACGCGTCACCGGGTCTGACCGCCCTATCCATTACGTGGACTAGTTTCTGAGGGCCTAGTCTAACCCGGAATCACCAGGGAGTGAACGTGTACAAGATTTAACGGAGTGAGTGAGTGAATGAGTGATTGAGATGGAGTTACACTGCTTTGAACAGCATTTCAGTTATATCACGACGTGTCGGTTTAATATTGGAGGTGCAGGTCTCAGACGGTTACTACCTTGATTCATCCCACGAGCAAGCACTGACAAACCTAGAAACATAATCGGGGCGAACCCGCGATCACAGATTTCTGGAGAGTCCAAGGGACGCAACTCCGCACAGCTTAATGGAGAGGAACAGTTACTCCATATATAGTTGGCTGGCCTAGTGTGTCACCCCGATGTCTGCTGACCATGCCAACTTATTCTCTGTCTCATTACATAACAGATGGGGGTGGTCTGGTGGTTAAGGCGCTCGTGCGCCCCAAGCGAAGATCCGGGTTCTTTACCTCACATCATCTTCTTTCCACTGGACTTTTATAGTCAGTTAGTGAGTTACCTCCCCTGCCCTTGTCCCACACGGATACAACGTCAATCGTCGTTACGCTGTCGGATATTGTTAAAAACGGCGTTAAACTATACCCAACATCCTCGACCATCCAGTGTGTTATATCCCCATTCCATTATGACTACAAACCCTGGACACAGTCTCCACCGCAGCTTCGTATGTTGACTGGAATCACACAAGGCTAAATCACACCGCTCTTTCACGGTTAAAGGCGATATCATCAGCACTCGACATGTGCATGCCATGTCTAATACAACCGACACATTTTGAAGGGAAAGGATTTCCCTCCAGCTGTCGCCGTATACTCTTCACCCAGGAAAACATCTTTAAACGCTAAAACTTCAATAATAACAACATTTTTCAGATTAGATCAACTGTATCGAGGGCATGCTTGGACTTGGAATCAAGTCGTGATTTTGAATGTAGATCTGTACTCGCGTTCAGAAGCAGCATTTTGATTGGTCGTTGATTTCAAGTTTTTGAGTGAGTGAGGACAGAGTGAGTATGGATTTACGCCGCTTTTAGCAATATTCCAGCAATAGCAAGGCGGCGGACACATGAAATGGTCTTCACGCATTGTACCCATGTCCGGAATCGAACCCGGGTCTTCGGCGTGACGAGCGAACGCTTTAACCACTAGGCTACCCGACTGATCTCATGTTCATGAGCAAGACCAAGAAAAAGATTATGCCGATATGTTAATAAAAGCAGATGTGCGATTCCCACAAAAGCATAAGCACGTGTTTATGAATCACTATCACAGAATGATGATACCAGGTGTTTTTAAAAAGGTGAGACTTTCCTGTCCGACCGTTGGGACAAACACACGAAAAGGCAAGTCAATTTATCACCTAAAAAACCCATCAAAATAGGGAACTGCATCGGACATAATCATTTTTGTCGCTGATGCGTGAAATTTGGAAATAAACAAATTAACATAAGCTGGTAGAGGTAAAATATCTTTTGCTCAAAAAAACAATTCCGGTCAGATTCTCAGTACTGTTATAATCATAAATCAGTCAATGTATGTATTTGCAGGGGGATGGCAACACTAGTGCTCATCGTTGTCGTCCTGACGTGTGTAGTCGGCGTGATGTGCGTCGGAGATGTAGTTGACGTCCCAGAGCAGAGATGGGACACACTATTCAGAAGCAAGAGAAACAGACCTGATAAACGTGGGTTCGACTTGGACGAGAAGATGGCCATTGTAGACCTGCACAACCGCTACAGGAGGAAGGTGCGGGCCACGGACATGACGCTCATGGTGAGGGAAGGGAGGTAACCCGCGCGGCTCTCGTACTTCTATAGATTGGCCTACAAGGGTTAATATTGACAATGGTCGGTTAACGGTTTCCCCCTAAACGGGATTAGTTTAAGGTGAAGGGGTTGATATCATTGGCGATGACTAAATCACCTGTGGTTATGAATACCTTACGGCCTATTTAAAGTAAGATATCGGGATTGACAAGGGTATATTTTCACGTTGGGTGGAAGGTAGTTCTTTACGGGTTTCTATGCTTGTTGAACAGGTAGATGTTTTGCCTATGAGGCAATTTGTAAAATCTATACTGATATTGGCTGCATATATACTAACGCGGAATGCTACTTCTGTACTGGGCACGTGAAGATGATCCGGGTTAGAATAGGTCTTCAGCAACCCATGCTTGCCGTAAGGGGCGACTATGCTTGTTGTAAGAGGCAACTAACGGGATCGGGTGGTCAGGCTCGCTGACTTGTTTGGTGGATCGATGCTAATGATGCCAATCACTGGATTGTCTGGTCCGGACTCAATTATTTACAGACCACCGTTATATAGCTGGAATATTGCTAAGTGCGGCGTTAAACAACAAACAAACAAACAAGCTTCTGTACTGATGCTTGCTTCATCAATATTGATGCGGTTTGTTGCATGAGCTAGATGTAGCTTGATATACTTATACTGGTCTTATTTCCTATATACGAGCGTGTATGGGTTTATACATGAGCTGTGGTGTTACCCAGGTTTGGGACGAGAGCCTGGTCCAGATGGCCCAGGGATGGGCAGACAGGTGCGTGTGGGAACATAGCAAATCCCGCAAGAACATTCTACCTCAGTTTGACTATATAGGAGAGAACCTATATGCTGCAACAGGTAATTCAATTTCAATTCAATTCATTATTGTATAAAAGGCCACAGGCCCATATACAACGGAGTTACATAATATATTTTATAAGATACAAAGTCAAGGTAACAATTCACTTCGTAACAAAAACACATGATGTACGTACAGTGCCAGTAGATGTTGTATTGGAAGATCCTTGCAAGACAATGTTATAGCATTAAAATGAGATAAAGACCATCGCGGTAAGTACTTGTTTCTTAGATTTTCGTATATAGGGCAAATAAACATAAAATGGTATCCATCTTCGACAACAATGTCACAGAATGGGCATGACCTTAGGGACTTCTCAATAGATGAAAATCTCCCTGTGTTAATTTTTAGGTCATTCAGGCCAAGTCTAAAACGAATAATGATGTTACGAAAATTCCTGTACCGTAAGTTTGATAAATAAGGTAGGTCAATATAAATCGATATTTGAGTGCGTGAATGTTTTTACACCGCAGTAAGAAATATCCCAGCCATATATCAACCAGTCGTCGATAACAAGAGCAACATCACGATCCATGTGGGCACAATGACTCAGTAAGCAGGTGATACATTATGACCACCTGTCTTCATTAGGCGGCTTTCTAAAAAAGCATCTTGTCGTGGGGACCTTTTTTGCCTGTCAATGCTTTCAGGGAGCTCCGTTAGCTTCACTTCCTCTTGGCATAATTATACATAGTAACCAGATATAATTCATTTTATGTGTGTAGTCGTATTAAAATAAGGGGCACGGGTAAACACGTTGTTTTATGCGATATAATTCGTTGTGTAGAGTGTGCCCCTTAGTTACCAGAATCCGATGTTTGGTTGGAATCTCCCCAGGGAGCTGAGAATGAATGTTGAGTGCACACTGATCCACTGACCGGGGTAAAAATGCGCTAAGAGCATGCTTATGCATGGAGTACAGCGCCATATAAGCGATTATCATCGTCGTCGTCATCATCATCATCATCATCATCATCATCATCATCATCATCATCATCATCTCAGATTCGCCCTGATTATCAGCCATGTTTTGTCAGCACCATGCCTGTGCTCATGGGTTTCACCAAAGTGGTAATCGTCTGAGATCTGTGCTCCTTCGGATTTCTTCACACATTAAGCTGATTCCGTGACCTAACTTAAATATACAATTATTAATGACAACCCACGTTGCTATGGTTACAGATCTACCTTCAGCTGAAAAGGCAATAGGGAACTGGGCGGACGAGGTCAAGTATTACACGTTTTCCAGCGGATATTGCTCAAAAGTCTGTGGTCACTACACCCAGGTACACAATTAACCTCGATAATACGCACTGTTCGCTTTCTGTAAAAAAATGTCTGTATCTAACGTAGGCCGGATAAACGAACCGTGAAGAAATCTCCGATGAACCAGTTCGTTCCAATACCACGATGTGAGGCTTATTGCAATTAATAGGGTCTGTTTACAATTGATTGGGTCTGTTTACAATTAATAGGGTCTGTTAACAATTGATAGGATATGTTTACAATTGAGAGGGTCTGTTTACAATTGATAGGGTCTGTTTACAATTGATAGGATATGTTTACAATTGATAGGGTCTGTTTACAATTGATAGGGTCTGTTTACAATTGATTGGGTCTGTTTACAATTAATAGGGTCTGTTAACAATTGATAGGATATGTTTACAATTGATAGGGTCCGTTTACAATTGATAGGGTCTGTTTACAATTGATAGGATATGTTTACAATTGAAAGGGGTCTGTTTACAATTGATAGGGTCTGTTTACAATTGATAGGATATGTTAAAATTGATAGGATATGTTTACAATTGATAAGATATGTTTACAATTGATAGGGTCTGTTTACAATTGATAGGGTCTGTTTACAATTGATAGGATATGTTTACAATTGATGGGGTCTGTTTGCAATTAAAAGGATCTGTTTACAATTGATAGGGTCTGTTTACAATTATAGGGTCTTTTTACAATTAATAGGGTCTATTTACAGTTAATAAGGTCTGTTTACATTTGATAGGGTCTGTTTGCAATTGAAAGGATATGTTTACAATTGATAGGGTCTGTTAACAATTGATAGGATATGTTTGCAATTAATAGGGTCTGTTAACAATTGATAGGGTCGGTTTGTCATAGAACACAGAACATCACAAAGTTAAGAGTATGGGTCATTGAACACAGAACATTACATAGTTAAGAGTATGGGTCATTGAACACAGAACATTACAAAGTTAAGAGTATGGGTCATTGAACACAGAACATTACATAGTTAAGAGTATGGGTCATTGAACACAGAACATTACAAAGTTAAGAGTATGGGTCATTGAACACAGAACATTACATAGTTAAGAGTATGGGTCATTGAACACAGAACATTACAAAGTTAAGAGTATGGGTCATTGTACACAGAACATTACAAAGTTAAGAGTATGGGTCATTGAACACAGAACATTACAAAGTTATGAGTATGGGTCATTGAACACAGAACATTACAAAGTTAAGAGTATGGGTCATTGAACACAGAACATTACATAGATAAGTGTATGGGTCATTGAACATAGAACATTACAAAGTTAAGTGTATGGGTTATTGAACACAGAACATTACAAAGTTAAGTGTATGGGTCATTGAACACAGAACATTACAAAGTTAAGAGTATGGGTCATTGAACACAGAACATTACAAAGTTAAGAGTATGGGTCATTGAACACAGAACATTACAAAGTTAAGAGTATGGGTCATTGAACACAGAACATTACAAAGTTAAGTGTATGGGTCATTGAACACAGAACATTACAAAGTTAAGAGTATGGGTCATTGAACACAGAACATTACAAAGTTAAGAGTATGGGTCATTGAACACAGAACATTACAAAGTTAAGAGTATGGGTCATTGAACACAGAACATTACAAAGTTATGAGTATGGGTCATTGAACACAGAACATTACATAGTTAAGAGTATGAGTCATTGAACACAGAACATTACAAAGTTAAGAGTATGGGTCATTGAACACAGAACATAACAAAGTTAAGAGTATGTGTCATTGAACACAGAACATTACAAAGTTAAGAGTATGGGTCATTGAACACAGAACATTACAAAGTTAAGAGTATGAGTCATTGAACACAGAACATTACAAAGTTAAGAGTATGGGTCATTGAACACAGAACATTACAAAGTTAAGAGTATGGTTCATTGAACACAGAACATTACAAAGTTATGAGTATGGGTCATTGAACACAGAACATTACAAAGTTAAGAGTATGAGTCATGGAACACTGAACATAAAAAAAGTTAATAGTGTAGGTCACTGAAATGTAAATATAAAAAAATAAATAAAATTAAAACACTAAACACTGGGCAGTACAAGGTTAAAAGTGTAGGTTACTGAACACTGAACATGAAACCATTTGATTGCAAGGCTCTTACGAGAAACAAAGCAACAATGTGATGTCCGTCTCTCACTTTGTTCACATATGAGCCTTTTCATCAAGGTGATAGTGAAAGTAATTGTTGTTTCCAGGTGGTTTGGGCGAAGTCCTATGCTGTGGGATGCGGCATCAGGCATTGCTCTAGCCCACGAGGTCTGGACTGGGATCAATATGGAGGCGGGTATATCGTTGTCTGCAACTACGGGCCTGGGTAAGTCTGTGGTGAAAGAAGCGTCCCATAAAGGACCCTATGTTGGTCATGTAGTTGAAGCGAGACATGAGTAAATGTGTTGGTAGCCCACATTTTGTACGGAGGTCTATTGCTGAAATGAAAGTTTTTCATATATACCTATATATCGTTATATTCAATTTGCAAGGTTTAATGATCGAGATACTAAGTTTATTTTCAAGACACTGAGATGATTTCTCAGAATAATATTTTGATTGTATGTATGTATGTATGTATGTGTGTGTGTGTGTGTGTGTGTGTGTGTGTGTGTGTGTGTGTGTGTGTGTGTGTGGTGTGCTTGCGTGTGTATGTGTGTGTGCGTGCGTGTATTTTTAAATGTGTGGTGTGCTTGCGTGTGTAAGCGTGCGTGCGTGCGTGCGTGTGTTTGTATGTGTGGGTTGTGCCTGCGTGTGCGCGTGTGTGCTTGTGTGCTTGTGTGAAAATTCGTTTTGAAAAAACGTGGATAAAAGCTCAAAGAAGACCACGTTCACCCAACGATGTCTTATCCCAGGACAGCATCGGAACACTAGCTTCCATTGTTACAGTCAGGAATATAGTATATATTCTATAGAATGGACTATAATTTCAATTGTTATGTATGTTAAACAAGGCCTTACAACTTAACAGACCGCGTTAAGCGATATGGAATCCTGCACATGAAACTCACACGTAAGATCTTAGTCATAATTAAGTGAAATTACAATACAAGTGAGGCGGTCTCGGGCTTGACAGCTCACGGATGCTAGGATAGCCTAGTGGTTAAGTCGCTAGCTCGTCACGCCCAAGACCGTGGTTCGAATCCACTCATGGGTACAATGTCTGAAACCGTACTTTGAGGTCCTGCAGTGACATTGTTGGCATATTACTGAAAGTGGCGTAAAGACATTCTCGTTAACACTCTTACTCGAAACAAGTGTTGATAAAGTGTTGCAAGATATTCTTTTAACGTAAGTTCTCTAACCCGTTCCATCCCTCCGTGTTCCCTACAGAGGAAACATTGTTGGACGTCAACCCTACAAGAGAGGAGGCCCCGCTTGCTCCAAATGCCCCGAGGGATTCAAGTATTGTATAGACGGACTCTGCAGTAAGTAAACAATCTAATTAACAAACAAATAAACAAACAAACACGTCAAGGACGACGGAATATGTACCTAGATCCGAGCGCGATCGAAGGATATTCTGGTCGTGATCTGGCCGCGATCGGGTCGCGTTCAACTGCTGCGACCGGATCGCGACACTTCTTTAATATTTACTCTCACAGTATCAAAAGCATCCATTACTTAAATGCTAAGTGCATCGCATGTATGTAACATTTACATGCTATTCAGCTTTTCAACATTGGTACAGCTTGACTTTAATTCAATAACGATACATTTCTGAAGTACATTTCTTATGAGAATAATTCATGTCCGTCTGTAATACGTTTTGATAAATCAAAGCGTTAGTTTCTGGAGATCGGCAAGTTTAAACTATTTTATCATCTCTGTGGTGTCGTTAACTGATTTCTATTTTTCAGGCAGAACAGAGGTTGCCCCTTTTCCATCCCCATCGACAGCGTCACGTCATCTCCCGTGGTTCCTGTTCATCGCTACGGCGTTCTTGTCGTTGTGGTTAAACGACTCACACTAGGGGTTAAACATCAGAGAACATGTACTTTACATGGTCATATCCAGAACATGACATTGCTAGCTATCCGCTGATTCACATAATGCACTATAAGTGTGAGTGAGTATGGTTTTACGCCGCTTTTAGCAATATTCCAGCAATATCACGGCGGGGGACACCAGAAATGGGCTTCACACTTCACTATAAGAATTAGTCACAAATCATAATGATGATGCAGCGCATAGAGAGACGGAAACAAGTCTATATTATAATGGTTGCAGAGTGTGATATATTGATGACCTCTCTGATTTGAATGAGCTATGCCAAAAGACACAGGACAATGCTTAGAATCAATTTCCGAAAGCAAAACGGTCGTATGACCCATGGGTAGACCTGCATAAAAGCACAAATGTATCCTTTGATTAATATTTAACAGTTCGATGTAAATTGTATCGGACATATATTGCGTCCTTGGATATAATTTCGATATAGATTACCAAGACACGCCAGACAGCCGGAATCTCAGGGGTTCTTCCTTCTATACAGACTTGGAGCAAGGTCATTCCATTAGCTTCACTTAATGGCTGATACAATGTCCATGCAAAGTTAAACTTAACCTCTTAACCTGCTCATCAAAGGCTTCCAATGGTTTTGAGATGTCGTACCTGTCTACGAGTGTAACAAGATAGCTACTGTTTCAACATTCCTTAGAACAAATGTGATAATTGCAACGCCACGAAGTCGCATGGCATATTGTCAACATTTCGTCTTGTTTAATTTTAAACGCCACACCAGTGCCATAAATGATCTGTTATACATTTTAAAATAAACTTTTTATATAAATTAATATTGGTGTTGCTGTAATGTACGTCTAACACCCTCGGCTCAGTATACCCTATTGGAAGTGAGTGAGTGAGTGAGTCCGTGAGTCCGTGAGTGAGTCCGTGAGTGAGTGAGTCCGTGAGTGAGTCCGTGAGTGGGTCCGTGAGTGAGTCCGTGAGTGAGTGAGTCCGTGAGTGAGTGAGTCCGTGAGTGGGTCCGTGAGTGAGTCCGTGAGTGAGTGAGTCCGTGAGTGAGTCCATGAGTGAGTGAGTCCGTGAGTGAGTGAGTCCGTGAGTGAGTCCGTGAGTGATTGAGTCCGTGAGTGAGTCCGTGAGTGGGTCCGTGAGTGAGTCCGTGAGTGAGTGAGTCCGTGAGTGAGTCCGTGAGTGTGTCCGTGAGTGAGTGAGTCCGTGAGTGAGTCCGTGAGTGAGTCCGTGAGTGGGTCCGTGAGTGAGTCCGTGAGTGAGTCCGTGAGTGAGTCCGTGAGTGAGTCCGTGAGTGAGTCCGTGAGTGAGTGAGTCCGTGAGTGAGTCCGTGAGTGATTGAGTCCGTGAGTGATTGAGTCCGTGAGTGGGTCCGTGAGTGAGTCCGTGAGTGAGTGAGTCCGTGAGTGATTGAGTCCGTGAGTGAGTCCGTGAGTGAGTGAGTCCGTGAGTGGGTCCGTGAGTGAGTCCGTGAGTGATTGAGTCCGTGAGTGATTGAGTCCGTGAGTGAGTCCGTGAGTGAGTCCGTGAGTGAGTGAGTCCGTGAGTGTGTCCGTGAGTGATTGAGTCCGTGAGTGGGTCCGTGAGTGAGTCCGTGAGTGATTGAGTCCGTGAGTGATTGAGTCCGTGAGTGAGTCCGTGAGTGAGTCCGTGAGTGAGTGAGTCCGTGAGTGGGTCCGTGAGTGAGTGAGTCCGTGAGTGAGTGAGTCCGTGAGTGAGTCCGTGAGTGATTGAGTCCGTGAGTGGGTCCGTGAGTGTGTCCGTGAGTGAGTGAGTCCGTGAGTGAATGAGTCCGTGAGTGAGTCTGTGAGTGGGTCCGTGAGTGAGTCCGTGAGTGAGTCCGTGAGTGAGTGAGTCCGTGAGTGAGTCCGTGAGTGGGTCCGTGAGTGAGTCCGTGAGTGAGTCCGTGAGTGAGTCCGTGAGTGAGTCCGTGAGTGGGTCCGTGAGTGAGTCCGTGAGTGAGTCCGTGAGTGAGTCCGTGAGTGGGTCCGTGAGTGAGTCCGTGAGTGAGTGAGTCCGTGAGTGGGTCCGTGAGTGAGTGAGTGAGTCCGTGAGTGAGTGAGTCCGTGAGTGAGTCCGTGAGTGGGTCCGTGAGTGATTGAGTCCGTGAGTGATTGAGTCCGTGAATGAGTGGGTCCGTGAGTGGGTCCGTGAGTGGGTCCGTGAGTGAGTGAGTCCGTGAGTGAGTCCGTGAGTGAGTCCGTGAGTGAGTGAGTCCGTGAGTGAGTGAGTCCGTGAGTGGGTCCGTGAGTGGGTCCGTACGTGAGTCCGTGAGTGAGTCCGTGAGTGGGTGGATGGAAGGAGTGATTGGTGAGTGAGTGGGTGAGTGAGTTAGTCCGTGAGTCCGTGCGGGCGAGCGAGATTTTGGGGAATGGGTGATTGTGATTTTATTGAAATTGGTGTAATAATGCTTGAGGGATATACGAATAACAAACACGTGACTGACCATCTCGAAAACCGGAGACATACCCCATGTATGCATGACGGATAATAATTGTGTAAACCAGGTGTCACAATGATGGTTGACAGACGATGAGGGCACCAATCTTGAAGGCGACGTTAAACCCTTTTCAGTTATATAACCACGACCATTCTCATGTAAAGAACAGGAAGTTTTTAAGAGCCCCGCTTCCAAAGTTTGTGAAACTCGTAATCTCTAAACTCGATATATCGATGTAACTGTATATTCTCGGTTGTGTCCTCTCGGTGCTATGGCCCAGGATTCGTCACTCGATGGCTATTTAGATAAACTTGAAGGTGAAGGTCATGGTCTGTAAAAATGGAAGGACAAACTTCAGAACAAGCTTGGCATTGAAGGTTAAAAAAAAGTACCTGTCAGCTCAGAGTCAGTATACTGTGTCTGAGTGGGTGCCCATTTTAAACTGCGGCGTCGTATCTCAATGGGTTGGCACTATAAAAACCGGCATTAGTCCGGCATCAGTGGAATAATATTGAATATCGAACCCTATTTCACTTCACCTCATGCATTCAAGGGCCACGGGTGGCACAGTTGTCTAAGGCGCCGCGATTCGCTGTGCAGAGTTGCGTCCCTTGGGCACGCCAGAAACCTATGATTGTGGGTTCGAATCCCGGTTCGACCCGATTATGTTTATAGGTTTGTCAGCACTATACCGAAATGGTAAACGTCTGAGACCTGCATCACTTTGCTCTTTCCTCCCACATTAAGGTGACACGCCGTGATATAACTGGAATACTGTTAAAAGCGGCGTTAAACCTAACTCACTCACTCATGCATTTAAGATAAAGTTTCTAAGAGATCAGTTTCTAGAGTTTGAAAACCTTCGTTAACTCGACCTCAATAAACTCGACATGTATTTTAAAACTAAAATGCCGGGCTAAAGTAAGTATACACGTGAAATTTGGATTTGACCAAGAAATTACAAATGTTATCAAAACGTTACTAGTCTGAAAACAGTCGTGGAAACACTGCCAACATCAGGTCGAAACAACCACGATACCCATATCAAATACAGTAAACTACGTTTAAAACGAACACGCTTATAACGAACTGACCGATAAAGCGAACTCATTTTGTAGTCCCGGCCATTAATTGTATATATGTTACATGCTTATAACGAACTACGGTTATTACGAACTTAAATTAGTGGTCCCTTTGAGTTCGTTATAACCGTAGTTTACTGTACATCGATAACCCTTTCTTGTTTGTATCATTTCACATTACACATGGGTGTACACTCAATCTTGCCCGGCAGTTCATTAGCTGTAAAGTGTCGTTGAGTCCCCTACCTTGATCCACGTGTATCACAAAGCTTATCTCTTAACACGGAGGGGGCGGTCGGGTAGCCTAGTGGTTAAAGCGTTCGCTCGTCACGCCGAAGACCCGGGTTCGATTCCCGACATGGGTACAATGTGTGAAGCCCATTTCTGGTGTCCCCCGCCGTGATATTGCTGGAATATTGCTAAAAGCGGCGTAAAACCTACTCACTCACTCTTAACACGGAGTATCCGTGAAGAACCCATGCTTGCCGTAAAAGGCGACTATGCTTGTCGTAAGAGGAGACTAACGAGATCGGGTGGTCAGGCTAGTTGACTTGGTTGTTGCATGTCATCGTATCCCAATTGGGTGAATCGATGCTCATGATGTCAATCATTGGATTGTCTAGTCCACACTCGATTATTTACAGACCGCCGTCATATACCCGGAACATTGCTGAGTGCGGCGCTAAACATCAACAACTTCACACGGGGTGCAAAACCTATATATGCTCTGGATAGCCTTTATTATAGTGATAACAATTATTGCTTTACTCGTGAAACATTCGTGATTATTAAATTTATTGAGTAAATATTGAACGCAAAGGATTGCTCCTCGTAAGCATGACTAATCCTTGAACGCGGGCCAGATATCAACACCGGGGATCCGGCCTGACACTGCACGCCAAGGCAATAGCTAAACTGTCCTTTCACTCTCGATCTGTAGAAACCAGGTACAACGACGTCTCTACGTTGTCAACAGATCCGATCATTGTTGGATATCGAACTCAATTACACCTTAACCATGAATACCACTACTTTCTATAGCAGACAGATTTATCCGTTGTCATAAAACGCTTGACTTTGAATAGAGGATCCGCTGTAAGATATCAATATGGCGGAGAAGCATGGGACTTTGGTAGGTGAGTTTACGCTTTAATTTGTGTTGTTTGTAGCGGTTGTAGAAAGTATTTCAGAAGTGAAATATTGAATTAGTATTCGGGGATGAATCGGTTTTCTCTAAACTGTGAATTTAGTAGGGTTACTGCTGTACTATGTGTTTGATTTGTCCTTAGGAACGAACGCCGGAATGTCTTATACATTGTATATTCATGCTTATTAATGGTCGTTGGTATTCATTGGTAGATGCCCAAACCCTATTGTGGCCTAATTAGACGTCATGTTAATCAATTAACTGCATTTACCATATGAACGAATTTAGATGGAAACTTTAAAGTTTAATTTATAACTTACACAAAATAAATAAATACAGTATAGTGGTTAATGATACTGATGTTAATGATTTTCATCACAGGGGGTAAGTGGTCTCTCGTCGCGCTGAATGCCGGGTTCGACTCTCCACAGGGGTACAGCGTGTACCATTGTTTGAGTGGCCGTTATATAGCGGGATTTATCCTGAAAACGGCGTAAATCCAACTCACTCACTCATTTATACACCTGCACGCGTCTTGTATATTATGCAATTGTTCTGTTGTGTGTACGGTTGAGCCATCAAAGCCAGTGACTGAAGATACCGGTAGGGGCTTAATGTTACATTCAACGTTTGACCCTGGTACGGAAAGTTAAACGAATCCAACACCGTGAACACTCTACTCATATTTCCCAAAGTCTAGACGAGTTTAACAATGTACATTAACAACATATTTCCTTTTCTGACAGGGGATTACAGGCATACTGTAGTGAATGTCGTCATATACTCCGACAAAACTGTGTGACCTATTTCACCAGTAATGTTTACGCAACCTCATACAACGTACATGTTAAATGTTAGTCATATTTACTGCACGCTTTTGTAAAAGGCGAGTTTTCGTTGAAAATGTTCATGTAATTTGTAGTTGGGTCTCAAAGGGGAAGTTCATTTTGGTAGTATATAGACATCAACCAGAACTCATAAAGGAGGCCATCGACAGATTTCCAAAAGCTGGAAGGTCTAAAGTAACACGTGACCTCAATGCGTCATAATGTACTTCTCTTTCTGTACACCTTGTGAGATAGGCAGCACTTGAATTGGACATTCGGTGGTTACACTAACTAAAGATAAGACATACATATACATGCATCAGTTGCACAATGCAATGTCTTGACTTATCGTGGGCGGTGGGTAGCCTGGTAGTTAACGCTTCATTGTGGTCTCCCCCGAGCACCAGGGTTCCCACATCTGTACAGACTCTTTATAGAATATTGCTAAAAGCTGCGTGTAACCCATATCACTCAGTGTTCATGTTTTGTTGGCCATATTTATCTTATGAGTGAGTGAGAATTATTTTACGCCGCTTTTAGCGATATATCCAGCAATATCACGGCGGGGGACACCAAGATGGGGTTTCTGGGGGGACCCATGTGGGGAATCGAACCCGGGCCTTCGGCGTGACGGACGAACGCATTAATCACTAGGCTACCCCACCTCCCTTCCTTTATTATGAAATAGCTATTGTTACTATGCGGAATAACTTTCACTCGCATCTCCGAATGACGTAGTATCAGTGTCTAGTGAAAAATTCCAACATTGATTCACTCGAGACATATACTCTATAATGCCTTGTAGCGCACCAGTAAGTAAATGAGTATGTGAAAATATGAATGTTGTTTAACGCCGCAGTCAGCAATTGTCCTAGTACATCACGGCGTCCTGTAAATACTATTGTCTTGACGTGACAAAGCAGTGATATTACGGGCAACGTCCGTCGCCGTCAGGACACGATGACACTCAGTCCACCAAGTCTATGGTCGACTTTAGACGCCTCGAACGATAATATAGGTTACTGGGGATAATTCCAACCTCGTACCCGAGGGGTACTTCGACAAATAGTTCGTACAAAATAATCAGTTCAAGATGTACTCAAATCTAGCTACATCGTTTGAAATTATCAGTGTCCTCCACAAATTATCAGTGTTTGTAAACACTTAACATTCAACGTAACATGTTAAACCTCATGTCACCACAGCGTCACCACATCAACCCCCGCCATATTGCAGGAATATTGCTGAAAACGAAGTAAAGCCATACCACTGACTCACATCATTGTCAGGTATCGCAGGAAGCACGGATGCTGTAGAATGACCCCTGCATATGTATTCATGCATGCCCCCGTAAATAACCGGATATGACGTGCACGGAGGCCAGGTCTGAACCTGTTTCCTTTGCAATGACAACTAAAGGCGATGTCTGGTGGGAAAGTGGTTGCGAAAGGGTCGGGTTCGATTCTCCGCATGGGTACAACGTTTGAAGCCCATTTCTGGTGTATTCCTATTGCTGGAATATTGCTAAAAGAAGCATAAAACTCAACTAACTCACTCATATTGTTAAGATCACCCGGGTTATCTCCCTTAGGCAAGCGTGACTAGCCTATGTCAAAGTCTTGTTTTCCCTCTTGACATTTCAAGTCTACTTTTCTTGACAAAAATACATTCGGTTAAAAATAGAATTGATGGGATAATTTTACATTTATGTAATAACTAACTGAATATGAATTGTTATAATACGTTATTCAGACCTTAAGAATTTTTAAAGGTAGAGATAACTAGCTTTGTGTATTCCCGTATCGTCATATCATATATTATGAATACATATTTGTATTTCTATTACAATATTTATGATATTTCGGTACAAAAACACACAAGTGTAATAATCTTTCTATCTTGTCATCTTAAACTAATGGATGTTTAAGACGTAATTTCACTCAATCAAGTAGCTTTAGAAACCGCGTATGAACACAGTTTCTTAGCGAACCGCCCAATATATCATTTAGCGAAAAATGACCTACAGCCATGTTTCGGTGACACAATGGGAAACCCCTATCTCAGCATATTGGAAATGTTAGTGAATAGTTCATTGAGAAAAAACGCATCGCATTGATGTATGGGGCTTGAAAGTAGTTCTTACTACGTTGCCTCATTTGAATATTTATCGGATTGATTTATTGCATCGATAACACCATCCTGTATACATAACATCATTTATTTGTCGTATTGCAAGATAAATATATCTTAATGAACGTTGATTCACGTTCAATAGAAAAATGAAACTTTGGAATGGATGTTATTAGCAGTTAATGATTATGTTTATTATTAGTGAATAAGTGACTGAAATGAGTCTTGCGCCACAAATCTAGCCCGTCGCCGCTGCTTCATACTCGGTACTGGGGTTGACATCTGACGTAATGACGCGTTCAAGGTCGACCTCGCTACGGGTACTTCCGGTAGATCCTTACACTCGTTTCGGGAACGCCTGGTGTCATCGTTGTAAGTTATTGATTCGTGATTGTAATTGTCTATGATTTAACCACTTCTTGTCATTATTTTCATGTGACCTTTGATGTTTTCATTTCATTCCATTCTTCAGTTCAACTCCTCAAGGGTGAGAAATACACTCCACCGTTTGTCACCCAGACTTCTGAACAGGATGCAAAGATGTAACATGTTTAATGTCACACCATGAGAAACAATTCAAGCGTAGGTAACCGTATGAAGTGAAAAATATACTCTATGAAAAAACATAGAAGCTTAAATAATCAGAAGATGAGAAGCTTTTGTGTTGACAGTAAGACTCGTGTAACTGATGGCTGTGGTGCGTGGTGGGCTCATCTCCAGCCCGAAGTCTCCCTGGAGTAAAGCCGGGGATCTAGGATCAGATGCTTCCTTACCCGAGACGCTCCTCCAGACACCAGAACAAGATAAACGAGAGCCCAGTGTCATATCAGAAGACGCTAGAACAATGAGCTTACGAGGAGACTACCGCGTAACTCCTTACAGATCAAGACGAGAAAGACGAAATCAAACAGGTCCGTATTCGACTCAAAGCATCCCTGCAGTTCGCCGTTTGCAGGAGTCACGTCGGAGGCATCTGGACGACGACAGGTGGAGCAGGGCCACGGGCAGAGGGTCAGATGTCCCGCCGGCTAATTGGCTGGACAACAGAGGGCCAAGTGGACCCGAGTCAGAGGTCAGGAGGTCTCGGAGTTATGATGTCAAGCATATCGGATTTGACCCCGACACAGGGTTGGATTACGTTGAGACGAAAAGGGGGACTAGGAAATACCTTGGAGAACCTTCCAGAAGAGAACCTACTGTGCACCCTCGGTATAGTAATGCCAGAACTGGGACGGTTGCTACGGAGTGGGACTTTGTGGACGACCCTACTATTCGTAGTGAGTATCAGCAGCAGCAGAGGGAGTATAAACCGCGGAGAGAGTTCAAACCAACTCGGGTGTATGCTAGACGATTGTCAGACCCTCCAAGCGTGGCAGGAGTACCAGCCAGTTCTGTGGATAGTGTAGAGAACTTCAAAGGGTCTGATTTGGGTGCAAAAGAACCCAAGCAAGGAGAGTTCGTGCCACATTGGGGATACTACACGGAAACTCCACCTAGCCCAGGTCAGAGTGTTCTGCCTAGACAAGGTTCGGTGTTAGATCCAAATTACAGATCCAGGTCACGGGAACTAGACAGGAACCTTCTCTCGCCGAGGTCGTTGTCAAAGAGTATGGTTCCAACGCACGGATCGACTCTGACCAGTCCTTCAATGAGGGGTTCGGTGAAGGAGCTAGAGTCAGATGAAAGTGGCTTCCATGAACCTACGAGGAAGCACCAGGGTCAGGCATACCCTGGTAGCGGGAACCATGCCTCGCCCGACTACCGACCCAACCCGTATCAGAGGGGTTCCCAGGGAGGTTACCAGAGGGGTGCGGCCGGGCAAGGCTATACCCAAGGAGGAGGGTATCAGCAAGGGGGTGGTCGCACCGTCCGGTTCAACATCAGCAGAGACAAGGGAGGAGGACCAAGAAAATGTGATCCAGCCTACATTTGCACGATACTCGGAGTCCTCAAGCTTGCCGAGTTTGTAAGTGTTCAGCTATGATAGATTCTTTCGCACCTTCGTCTGAGTCACTGAGGTTCTCCGCCGTCTTAAAAATAGTCCAGCCAGATCACGACTGGGGACGCCAGAAATGAGCTTCATACATTGTACCTATGTATGGAATCGAACCCAGGTCTTTGGCTTGGTGAGCGAACGCTTTAACCACTAGACTTCTCCATATACTAATACTTAGTCAACGGCAACATGTCTTTAATATAATATTTTAAAAACTTCTTCGAAGGAACCTTTCCTCTTCTGCTGTTTTCATGTGGACTCAAGCAAACTAGACTTGGTTAGTTGGATCTAGACTTGCCTAGGCTTTTAGTAAAAGAAAATACCTAAAAAATATATATTCCACAGTCATGGTGCAGTACTAGCGACTCAATCGTCAATGATGCTCTCTTAAATACATATCACATAATGATATATCAAATACAACCTCGGTATGCATTAAATTCAAGCGTTATATTAAACGGTGGTCTGTCAGATGTATCGGGTCACACTGGAAGTCGATAACATGAGGAGTTATTGATGACACCATACCACTTGGTCACACATTTGTGACCAGTAGATTCTCTTTTCGTCGGATGTTATGACAAGCATGGGGTGCCGGGGACCTACTCTGATCCGACATCTCCACGGGCTAGGTTTTTAGGGCCGGGCATCAGCCTCAAACTCTAAGACTGTCGCAGACAAAACATTCGTTATTCACAAACATTATAAAATACGTCGTTGCAACATTGAAATATTCTCTCAAGCTTCTTAAAATATGTTTGGATTTGTTGCTTCCAGATCACAAGCGCCATTATCACTGGAGTTAGCCAAGCTGACCCAGACGTTTGGTCGTTTGATGTCTTCATCTTGTTCGTGGGTGTGAGTGGAATGGTGCTAGCTGTAGGCTCATTCATCTTCAGATTGTTTCATTGGGAAGAATCTGCACATCTCGGATGCCTTTGGTTCGTAAGTAAACACTGTATTTTCAAAATACCTAGTTGTGATCTGCACCCAATGAAAGGCAGTCTTGCCACAACTATGTCTCGTCCAAAAATGAATAGACATTGTCATTCAGAACATGAAAAGGCATTATCTCAAAGCCTCATTTTAAAACTGTTAGGGTGAGACTTACGGGGTTATGGATTGAGGTTCATTTTAAATCAAATATCCTTTAGGGTGCCATGAAGCCCTATTGATAAGATGAACAAAGTTATTTTCAATACCAACAGAACCGACTTATAATGTTGTCTGAATAGCTATGTGTGTCGTGTTATAATGATACCTTGAAGAATTAACGAATTTCATATGATCACACCCTCATCTGTTACCTTTGGTCTTTTAAGTTTTCCTCACCGTGGATTCCAGAATAGTAGCAGCTCTTGTCAAAAGTTTGTTTGAAGAACCCACTAAATTGAGGGTCGGACCCATGAAGATCCGGGTTAGAATAGGTCTTCAGCAACCGATGCTTGCCGTAAAAGGTGACTATGCTTGCCGTAAAAGGCGACTAACAGGATCGGGTGGTCAGGCTCGCTGACTTGGTTGTTGCATCTGGATAATCGTGGACACGCCTTGAAATATAAACATTCTCAACTTCCCTTTGAAAAATACCCGTAAAGATCCGGGGTAGAATAGGTCTTCAGCAACCCATGCTTGTCGTAAGAGGCGACTGACGAGATCGGTGGTCAGGGTCGCTGACTTGGTTGATGCTTGTTATCGTATCCAAATTGCGTGGATCGATGAACATGATACCAATCACTAGATTATCTGGTCCAGACTCGATTGTTTACATACCGCCGTCATATAGTTGGAATATTGCTGCGGCGTTAAACAACAAACAAACAAATTGAGGATCGGGTGGTCACAATGAGTGACCTGGTTCATTGTGTGTCATCGTGGCCCATGCGAATCTACCGTGTATATCTGTAGAACATCTATAAGCGGTATTCATACAACAGTATGCGGCATTGAAAGAATACCTTAAAAACAATTGGGTATATGTTTCTGTGTTATTACAGCTCTACTGACCTCTGTATTTGTAGGAGTTTTCCTGTCATCTAGTTGTGGCTATCTTAATGTTCGTGGCAGCCATCCTGTCAACGTTGTCAGCCAGTCTTGCAAGCTCCATCGTTGCACTAACGGTAAGAATGATCTTATGCTCCCACTCTACTGCACATGAATCAATGCTTGCTTGTTAACAATATTTGATCCGTTTTATCCTTGATATATGATATTGTTGTCTATTCATGCCCCACTAATGAAAATCAAACATATCTTTGACATTTTTTTTACAGTTTTTCTGTTTCCTTGGAGCCGGATTGTTCTCTGTGGACACATTCATCCTTGGGTCCGCCGTTGCCAAACAGGGAAGAGAATCAATGGACGGCCAAGGTCAAGGTCGAAACCAAGGGCAACAACCCAGGGGCGGTGGGTACCCGGGGCAACAGCAGCAGGGTGGTCCACAAAGGGGTGGATATCCAGGCCAGGGTGGTCCTCAAGGAGGTGGATATCCAGGGCAGGGTGGTCCCCAAGGGGGTGGTTACCCGGGAGGGCCAAACAAACCTTACCCTCAACGTCGTTGACGACATGACAAGATAGGTTTATGATATTTCTTGACGTATGGAGGGCGGATTGTGTTGCCTAGGTGATTTAGCTCAGTTATTAAGAGTGTTTTCCTCAGTTAACTCAGTGATTAACAATGTTGTACCGAGAGAACACCATAGAGATCACTGATACAGTGAGAAGACTATCAAAGCTTTCTGGCCTTACAGAAAGTATAGATACAGTTGGGGAGAATATGTTTTGAAGCATTGGAGAGAATACGCATTGAAACAGTAGGGGGACTACGTATGGAAACATTCGGGAGTGTACGTATTGATCCATTGGGAAGAATACGTATTAAAGCTTTGGGAGAATACGTATTGAAGCATTGGAGAGAATACGAATTGAAGCATTGGAGAGAATACGTATTGAAACACTGGAGAGACTACGTATTGAAACACTGGAGAGACTACGTATTGAAGCATTCGGGAGAGTACATAGTGTGCATTGGGAAGAATACGTATTGAAGCATTCGGGAGTGTACGTATTGATTCATTGGGAAGTATACGTATTAACGCGTAGAGCATTTCATGGAAGCATTGCTTGCTATATAGAAGCATATATATGTGTATATGGAGGCACTGTGAACTATTAGGAAACTACAAATATATGCTGCTATTGAGCATACATAGGACTGATTATGAACACATAAGTAGGATCTTGACATTGTCAAACATGGCCATTTATTGGAAGAGGCGTGGCTGAAGAGCAACGTAATTACCTATCAAACTGTCACTAAAGAATCATTTCTGATGTGTGTAGTTAATATTCCATTAGTCGCACCCTACATGCCAGGCGTCCCTAAGTCGTGTCAGGATCCGGTGATTATGGATTCGAATCCCAGATTCGCCCCGATTATGATCCTTGGATTGTAATCAACATCCCCATGCTCGTGGGTTTCACCAAAGTGGTAAACGTCTAAGGCTTTCCATCCACATCGATCTGACAGGCCATGGCATAACTGGTATACTGTCCAAAGCGGTGTTCAACAAGACACGCGCACTCTAGACAAGTTGCGCTCAAATACCCATTTAGGTGCCGTTTCTAAAATTGGCTCGAAAAGGTATGATGTACATTTCAACACACCTTTTACGCTCGTCGACTTGACTTGTCATGAAATGCCGGTAAATTCTGGCAATTTACCAACAGTGTGAACATTCCCGTTATTTGTGAATTGTCTCTGTGTCCGTTTATGTTAAAAAGCATTGACGTGTGAGGTGTGTGTGTCTTTATCGACTTCAACTGACATAACCTTATAGTGTCAAGGTAGACATGTAAAGGTGTGTGTATCTTTATCGACTTCAACTGACATAACCTTATAGTGTCAAGGTGTTATTATTTCTGTGATGAATAATTGAAATAAATGTGTGTGAACATAAATGTTTCTTTTTATATGTTCATCGTTGTCTACCCAAGCATCAACATTTACAACCCCTCCCTACAATCTGGATAATCGTGGACACGCCTAGAAATATAAACATTCTCTACTACCCTTTGAAAAATACCCGTGAAGATCCGGGTTAGAATAGGTCTTCAGCAACCGATGCTTGTCATAAGAGGCGACTAACAGGATCGGGTGGTCAGGCTTGCTGACTTGGTTGATGCATGTCATCGTTTCCCAATTGCGTGGGTCGATGCTCATTGTGTCAATCACTGGATTGCCTGGTCCAGACTCGATTATTTACAGAAGGCCGACAAATAGCTGGCATAATGCTAAGTGCGGCGTTTAACAACAAACAAACAAATAAACAAACAAACAAACAAACCCTTTAAAAGATAGCTTGACATATGCATGCACACAACTAGACATACGAATATACCCAACCTATCATGGGCACGCATATTCAAGTTTGAAAAATCAGTGACACAAATGGTGTCCCATGCAATTCTTTATGATCTCCCCGTGTTATTTAGGTGAACAATGGACTTGTCTTTGCATGTGTTTATGACGGGTGCTCACCTTTTCTCGAACACCTGGTATCCTCACTATTTGATAGTGATGCATAAACACATGCTTATGTCATAGTCGGAGATGTAGAATCGACTGCTTTTAGCATGGATATCTTGTGATTATGGAATGGGTGCTTTAATTCATACAGATAGAGCACATAGTCTTCAGGGACCTTCTTTGATATCTGTCATGGCACGTGCATCTATTCAAATAAAGTATATGAACGGTCTCCGATCACCAACTGCTGTCAGATATAATGTTTGGGCACGGGTAGCCCAATGGTCCATTTCGATTTGCAGAGTTGCGCCCCTTGGGCACGCCGGTAACCTATGAGAGTGGGTTTGAATCCCAGCTCGCCGCGATCATGTTTCTAGGTTTCTCAGCACCATACCTCTGCTCGTGGGTTTCACCGAAGTGGTTAACGTCTGAGACCTACAACACTTCGGGCTTTCCTCCCACATTAAGCTGAGACGCCGTGATATAAATCGAATACTGTTCAAAGAGGCGTTAAAACCCAACTCACTCACATATAATGTACCAACACATGTACATAAAGTTAGGGACTTACCTCAGTATCTATCTTCTGCTCGTCTGCTCAGAGCACCTGCCACGGGAGATAACTCGCGTGCTGTTTTCCTACCTCCCTAAGGGAAAGAGCTACAATCGTAATATCTTCACGGGCGTGTAAGGTAGCCGCGGTTACGCCAGTTTTAGTAAACGTAAACGATGCGCAAATATGGCGTAAACTCAAAGAGCGTGTAAATTTACGACTGCTTTGTGAAACGTACCCAGGATGTTCAGCCAACTGATTCAATTGTATCGCTACTTAACGTGACATTAGGGAACACAATGTGACAGAAAGCGTGACACCCACTGAAATGCTGCTCCGCATTAAATTGCATACCTAAAATCTATTGACAAAAAAACCCTTTCTCAATAACGGTCGTCGTGTTGTAGGAGCTTTATGCAGAGGGATCGGTCGGTATGCCGGTTACTCGGACCTCATGTAGAACTCGATTGTTGCACAAGGTATTATGAAAGTAACAGAATATGCCGAGAGGAACCGAATGCACTGACTTTAGTCCATGTGCGTCTTTCGTTGCAGCTTCTTGATGAATGAGAACCAGAGCTCACACTGTGTGTACGAGCCCACTCGAATTGGTCACGTGGGATGCTGAGGGGTGAGTGAGTGAGTGAGTTGGGTTCAATGTCACGCTCAACAGTATTTCAGTTATATAAGGGTGTGCCACCATAGTTACCACTTTGTTGAAATTCAGAACAAATCTTGGTTTCGATCCCACGATTACAGGATATTATAGGATTCTGACACGCCTAGGGGACGCAACTCTTGTTCATATCACTGAGATTGTGTGTTAACTGCCGAGTAAAAGAAAGTATACACTTGAAAATTGGATTTGACCAAACAGCCGCCTAAACACAACAAACTTAAGCTCCAAAACACTAGGATATCCGTATAAAATACATCACTATCGAATAACAATTTCCTGTTTGTTTCATTTTTAACCACCATCAAACGTTGGTGAAAAGCTCTTTTGTTCGGTTTATTGAAAAGAAATTTGCATTTTGTCTGGACGTTTGACGTGAAGCTGTATGCCTCTCATTCCTTGTGTCGACTGTCAATATGACACCAATGGAATGGGAAAAAACTCCACTATTGTAATATTAAAAGACAAAGAAAAATAACGCCTGAAAATCAGATTCCTTTATACAGCAGATACCTGCAATGAGTCACATGTCCACAGAATCGCAAGTTCGTAAATCATATACAATAGGATGCATTTATTTTAACCGTCATAATTTTACACTTAATGGTGACTTTAGCTTAGAGTGAGTGAGTATTGTTTTACGCCGCTTTTAGCAATATTCCAGCAATATCACGGCAGGGAACACCAGAAATGGGCTTCACCCAGTGTACCCATGTGAGGAATGGAACCCGGGTCTTCGGTACGAGCGAACGCTTTAACCACTAGGCTACCCCACCGCCCTATAGCTCAGAGAATATCATGGCATACAGTCAACTCATACTGAAGACGGTGTAACGTGTACATGACCAGTATTGTTCATTCGAATAGCTAAACTTTCCACTGTGTCGATGAGTTCGTTATACCCGATGGTCATCGTGTACAGTGAAACCACCTTAAATCGGAAACCCCAACTTCCGGACGAATGCAACTTGAACGCTGGTATACAAAGTGACTTCACATAACTGTACCCCTGTTTCGTTAATTCTGTCGATTTGACAGGGAATACCATTGTCCGGATTAAAGGAGTTCCACTATATACAGTGTGTTCTTGTATACTGAATCGCAATACATATCATCAAATGCATGTTCAAAAGACTCTGGATATACAAATACTCCGGCACTGAAAAAGGTTTTAACACGTATGTTCCACTGGTCACTAGGTGTTGCCTAGCCAGTTGGCTACATTCCCTACTTGATGGTTGGCTTGTGGTTTCTTGTACCTCCAGTTGTCGTTAACCTGCCAGTTGGGTTTATAGTCGTATCTTCTCTCAGAACGAGCGTTTAGAGGAGTCCATGGACCTAATCTCATTCTCTCCTTCTTCGCAGCCCTCTGAGAAACACTAGTAAAGTCAGAATCATTGTCAACAAGCCTATGCCTATGCCTGTCCTTGTAATCTCTTCTTCTAAGTATGTCCTGATCGTGTAAATACTTCAGGCGCTCATTTTCACTCATGTGCCAATCAGGTCCCAGATCGGAGCCCCCCATCGGTAAAAGACTTCCTCTGGTGAGGAGATGGTCCCTTCGCATTCCAAAATGGCGTTCCCGCTCCCTCTGGCGGAGAATTTCTTTTTCCCTTTGCAGCCAATTCGGATGGTCAGTGTGGTCAGGAAAGGTACCGTAGTTCTTATTGAGCCATTTGGACGTGTCCATGATGGCAGGATCAGTGCGACGATGACGACGATAGCGGTTGTGCTGTTCTAAGACTTCGCTGTCGACGTCGTTGTACAGGAGGTAGTCGTCATATTGCCTGTCCCAGCGATCTCTGTCAGTCAGTCGGGGTACATGACCTATATACCTCCTCTTCCCCAACGGAGTTTCAAGGAAGTCCCGGTTTAGATGCTCATCACGTTGGATGCTAAATGGCCAAGCTCCTGGATTCCTTGGCGCAGCATGGTTCTGGATCCACACTGCTGTCTGAACCTTTCCCGGATCACTTACATGTCCCAGATGTGTTTTTGGCTTTCGAATAATTCGCGGAGGTCGAATCGGCTCCGTGTATGAATACCTCCGTCTCGGCTCGTCGGGAGGGTAGGAGAAGTATGGGTAGTGGCCACTCGGAAGATCATACGGGTAATGACCTTCATACTCATCTTCATCCTCTCTCAGAGGATTCCTGGAATAGTGTCCGTTGTACGCGTTATAGGGGTAGCGGTCTCTCAGAGGATCCTTTGAATATTCCGCGACAGGTGGTTCGTAAAAATCAAAGTCTCTCGTGATGGTTCTTGTGGCTAGAGTTTGGTTCCCCTGTGATAAAGGCGCTAATCTCTGAGTCGGGAACTCGTAGGGCAGGTCTCGTCTACCGTAATCAGCTTCACGACTCCACGGTACAAAAAGCCCACGCACTTGACCAACGCTATGCCCGGGGGAGCCAGGAGGGTGGTAACGGTTGATACGGGAGGGTGTGTGGAGGTTAACAAGGTCTCCGACCGTCCGAGGCTTCTGTCCCTGCCTCGTAGTGATCGGCCCTGGGGTGTGAGCCAGGATGATGTCAGTTCTTGGAGTTCCCCTTCTGTCAATGATCGGGGCATTCACGGTGGTTATCTGTGTACCATCGTCGTCAACGGGTTCTATCAGCTCTGTCCGGTTGTCCTCATCTCTGTTCCGGGTAGGTGGACCTGATCCTGCCGCCATATTGGTTCGAGAAGGTGGATTGGATGCCCTCGCCATATTGGTTCGTGAAGGTGGATTGGATTCTCTCGCCATATTGGTTCGTGAAGGTGCTTTGGATGCTGTTGCCATATTGGTTCGCGAAGGTGCTTTGGATCCTGTTGCCATCTTGGATGGTCAGATTTTAAATTTACTATTTCGAATAAGCAGACGGTGTCACCTTGTTCAGAACTGAAATGATTAGGAAATATTGATATATCAGGAATGTAATTGAAAAATAGTAATTTCTCGGTCTGTGTATAACAGACCATTAAATACGTGTGAAGAAGGATGCATTGGAGATTATCAATAGGCATTATATGACGTCATATGTTGTTATTACCTCAATATAATATTATCGGAAGCTATACAAAAAAACTACTGTAGTCAGGACCAAGTAATAAAATACATAAAAAAAATGCCACGATACTATAACGCGGCCAATGTGGACTTAAATTTTACCTGGAAACGTAGTGTAAATATGGAGGAAGGAAGGACTGTGGTGAGGAAGGCTATCTTGCTGATATCCTTTTTGACCAATTACATTAAGCTGTGTGAAGCACATACATTTATAACAAGAAACGAAAATCAAATCAAACTGTAATTCCCACCTTTTATTCTCATGATGCTAGTATACAGCTGTGAAGATCTACCCAAACGGTACTAGTTCCTCTGCTGCCATTTTGGATCTTGAATCATGGGTGACCGAATTGTCTCCGTTGACAACAAGAGTTTTTCTCGCTGGGACAAGATAGGTCAAAGGTATTAAAGACGGGCATGTACGTATCTTGTCGAGAGTAAACGCTTGTCTATTGAATGCTATTTCTGGAAGAGTGTATGGATACTTCGGAACACCATGCCGTATATATTGCAATAGCAAACGTCGCTGTGTCTCGCTATGTGGTTTGAATGGAGTAACATTCCGCTTTGGGAACAGATCATTTTGTTCTTCGGCGGAACAGTAATAAATCTGTAGAAGTCAATGCACCGACTGTGATCTATATGGTATTGAATGATAGGCGTTGAGATTCGCTGAATAAGTTCAGATAAGTTACATTGAGGCATTGCTTGGATACCGGCGTGGTATTGACACAGCTTTGTAGCTTGTTTGTGTGGGTGTTTGTAAGTGTCTATGTGTGCACGTGTGTTTGAACATAACCATCAGCAAAATAATCCAGGCATGTTATCGTATCATACATTTTAATCCTGATTTGCTGAAGGATTGCTGATTTAAATTATTAATTCATAAACTGTCGGGGCAAAAAGGATACACTTAAAAAATGAGAGTTTGCCAAAACATTACAAACGTTATGAAACCGTTTTTAAGCTGAAAACGGTCGCCAAAACACAACCATGATACACATATCAAATACTATCGAATAACCATTTTTTTGTTTGTTTCATTTTTAACCACCATCAAACATTGGTGTATACTTTCTTTTGCCCGGCAATTTGAACACATTTTGTTTCGATGATGCTGCTCTAGTATATTGGGAATGGTTTTGTTGTACCAGGGTGTGATTCCTAACTTTGTGACGTGTGTTTTTGTATCTTATCCCTTAATTCGGAATTACTATGACCATGGATTTGTCTACCCATTGAACAATCCCGCCCCTTCCATCCAGATCTCCATCTTCATCCGTACACTCCATGATACTGATGTTATAGGAGACCAGTCGTCTAAGGTGCCACAATTCGCTGGACAGAGTCAGAATCCTATGATCGTGGGTTCGAATCCGTCATTCACACTTATGATTCTTATTGCCATACCAGTCCATGAATACCAGGACACGGGGCTGTGATGAATGTCCCTAAATACTAGTATAAGGTGCTGAACTCTATGTCCATGAACCAGTGAATGTGTGTGTTGTTTTACGCCGCAGTGTGAAGCTTTATTATGCTTGCTTGTAAAATGATCAGGACTGGGCCAGTAGCTGACTGGGAGAGAAACGAGGGATTCGAACGCACATTCACAACGAGACAATGTCCTTTCTAGGATTCCATACATGACACGCAATCACCCAGGTTACCGAGCCTGACCCCCGATCCATCACGAGCCCCCAGGAGTCCCCGGAATTCCTCACCGGAATTCCTAAAGGGTCAGTTAATCCGTCTTCACAAGAATATCTTGTGACATGCACGTGGTTCTACTTGAAGACAAAATATCGAATTCGTATCACAGAACAACAAATAAGTTTATTGCATGTACATGTTTGGCATCGATGGAACAACACAGCACCTAGCATCAGGTATACGGTGGTGAGGGATCGAGCTGAACCTACAGCGCTGACAAATTAATCCACACATAGCATATACACCGATAATATGTTGCGATCAGTCGTGATATTGCGTTAGGAGAGCTTTTCTTAATGAATATCCTGCAACATGGGTTGCCATCAGAAGAACGGAGAAATACCGTATATGTTGGTTAATATGTGAAGAAGTACTTATATTCAAGAGATATATGATTTGTTTGATGCACAAACGAACATACTGTTACGCTGTGTGAATCAACGCTCATGAACGCATCACATTTGACGTCATAGATCCATGACTCAAGATTGCACCATTTATCTCATGCAGGATTAGCGTGTAAAGTTTGGAAATCACATGCAGCATATCGTGATAAGAATAAAGACACTCTGTGGTAACACTTGACTGATTGGTAGTTTTGTCATAAAGTGGTACAGATTGGAAATATCTCTTCTAACCGTACATGCTTATATATGTTTCTATGGTTCGCGTTTCTTTTTGCGGTGAGTATATATTTTTGTTCTGTAAATAGGTTGTCTGTTTGCGCAAGACAGGAATCGTTAATTATTGATGCGGTGCAAATTAATAATCACTCAATCTCTGTTCCGAGAAATCATATGATGTGTTTCGTAAATAATAATTCGGGAGGGGAACTATTACTTCTTTTAGTATATCATGTAGTTTAGCTAATAACCATAATGATTATGTATTACTGAATTAACAGTGGAGGATACCAGATTTTAACGGTTAGATTTAGGGCAAAAAGATATTCATGATAGCAAGTCACATGGTAACCATTCTTGGCAAAGTAAACCTACACGGCAATTGTCATTTTTAGACAATATTGTCCCCGCCCCTCAACATAATGTTGATATTGTGATCATAGTTTTCTATTACCTGCTTTGCAATTTAATATAGCGCTTACCTCGAATTAATACTCTTTATATCGGTGAATAAAATAGCAATTTAGCTTCACAAACACTTCTTTGATAGCCTCTTTTATACATTAGCTCACAAGAACAAGATTTCCAAAAGCCTCTTAAGTGGTTACGCGTATAGCCATAGACAACAAAAACGTGTTTATGCATTTGTGTTTTTTCCAGTAAACAATTTATGAGCGTTATGCGTAAGAAGTAAATAACTATCAAATCCTTCTATATGTTTTAAAGTGGAATACGCTTCTACTTATTCGCTAGTGCTTAAATGCATTCCTCATACCGGATTGTATATAAGGTAAGCGCTGTCATGCGGGGATACACGAGAAATACACAGGGAACATATTACAACATTAAACACACTAATGATAATAACTGTCACATCTATATAGTCCATGTGTAAACATGTTTTTGTGACTCTGACAACGTTGACAATGAATTTATTTGAAGCTATCTGCGCCTATCGAAAATAACAATACACACGTAATTGGATTTACTTTATCACAGTAAATGACAGCTGTATATTCTTAGATGACATGCTATTCACTGTAACTTGAGGTGATCAAAGACTTTTCCACCAATGTTGGAATAAGACCTCTTCCTGAGGCAAGAGAGTTAACTGTCCAGTCCAGTTTCCACCCTTGCCGAACTAGGCTGGAATTACTGGGCTCGATCGTAGCGCTATTACCAGTTATGTACCTTCTATGCCCCTCCTATTGACCAATCAGATTTCACATCTCGTATCACTTGCATTTGCTTCAAACAAAATGGCGGCGCCCAGTCAAGACGATCTGATCGATAATCAAGATCTATATTATGATAAAAGGGGTCTTACATCGCGAAATGCATCAAATCACGTGAGCGCCTTGATTAAAAACATGAAAAGATTTGGAAAATATCTGCTGTTGGTGGTACACATCAACCGACCGAAATCTGGACGACAGTTTACGAACCGGATTTCGATTTCGTTACGCGATTTTGATTGGACTATGCATAGACTCGTTAGTCCAGCCAAAATGTAACTCCATAATACCAGCCTAGTTTGGCAAGGATTGAAACTGGACTTTTGTATCAGTTCACTCTCTTGCCTCGGGAAGATGGAAGAAGATGTCCCTCCATAGTTAATGTCATTGTAATCCAACACTCGGCTCTCCTCAACCCCATATGTCATCCCGCCCAGCATTGGGCGCAATCCTAGTTGGAACAGAATTGCTAGTTTCACAAGTTCACGTGACTATTACATTACAATCAGCATTAATATTGACTGTACCCAGAGACAGTCATTCACACGACAGCTTAATAACAAAGACACCTGAGTAAAGTGAAGTATCGTTAATTATAAGAAAATATATTAAAGTTGTTCGAGACAAGTGGAATGCAAATAAAACGACCACAGTGCCGATAAGGATTGTGCTGGGGTCATCGGTGCGTCTTACAAGGAAAGTTGAGTTACTGGAATTTGAGTTAACCATGCCTCGACTTCCAAACCATTCTCCGTGTCAGAATAGGGTTCAATGTTCTCACAGAGCCTTATCACAGGTTTAAATCACGATCACGATCTACGATCAGACATGTGATACATGGTTTTCACAACCTCATAACGTCGTTGAATATAGCCATTGTAATTACGACATAGTCTGACTCATGTTTCTCTCCTCTGTTGAAAGAATTCATCCTGACAACAAGCAAAGTCTGTGAGGTGGGAACTATGTCAGTCCCCGTGCCAAGGGTCATTCCACCCACAGCAGCTGATATCTCTGGTTGTCTGGATCTACACCTGTGTCGAACCATGTGACTAAAACATCTGGGTATCCTGCCACACATCTCGAGTCGATATTGATGTCTACATACTCATTTATATCATAACCACGGGGAGTATAACATACACATACACATGACATATCACTGTTATACTATATACACAGAATATATCATAGTTTACACATACATACATGTCACGGTTATCACATATATACACAGAGTATATCAGCTATCATATGTACACATGGTATACAATAGTTATCACATACATACATACATAGGAAATATCAGTTATCATATGTAAACATGGTATACAATAGTTATCACATACATACACAGGATATATCAGTTATCATATTTACACATGGTATACAATAGTTATCACTTACATACACCGGATATATCACGGCTATCACATATATACACAGGATGTATCACAGTATCATATGCACACAGGGTACATCATAGTTATCACATACATATGAAAGATCACAGTTATCATATATACACAGGATATATCATAGTTATCACATACATTCACAAGGTATATCATAGCAATCATATATACATATGATAGATCACAGTTATCATATATACACAGGATATATCACAGTTATCACATACATTCACAAGGTATATCATAGCAATCATATATACATATGAAAGATCACAGTTATCATATATACACAGGATATATCACAGTTATCACATACATTCACAAGGTATATCATAGCAATCATATATACATATGATAGATCACAGTTATCATATATACACAGGATATATCACAGTTATCACATACATTCACAAGGTATATCATAGTTATCATATATACATATGGTAGGTCACAGTTATCATATATACACAGGATATATCACAGTTATCACATACATTCACAAGGTATATCATAGTTATCATATATACATATGGTAGGTCACAGTTATCATATATACACAGGATATATCACAGTTATCACATACATTCACAAGGTATATCATAGCAATCATATATACATATGATAGATCACAGTTATCATATATACACGGGATATATTATAGTTATCACATACACACAGGATATATGACAGTGACAGTCTCATGTCATTCACAGAAGTAATATATCCATTGTGGAAACAAGTTCTTGAAGACACAAGGCACGGTATCTTGACCTTGACATTTGCCAGGTGTTCCTAATATCACAAACACCAAACAGCACCACTTCCATTGAAGTGGGTCATTTGTAATGGATTAATTGTTGTTTTCTGACTTTGTTTACACGTGGCTTGATTCAGTTGATAAACCGATGGTGTTACATTTCAAACACACACACACACACACACACACACACACACACACACACACACACACACACACACACACACACACACACACACACACACACACACACACACACATACACATATCAATGCCATGTGCTATGACAAGAACATAACGAAAACAGGGGACTTCTTCTTCAAAAAGTACCAAAGTACCAAGATTTATACACATCCCGTGTATATTATGTAGTAATATTCCACCAATATCATGGCGCTGACACCAGCAATGGGCGCGATGTCATATCCATGCTGGGATCCCGGTACTTCGGCGTGACGAATGAACGCTTTAATCACAAGGCTACCACACCGCCCGCCCTTATCTAATACTCAGCCACCTGTGCACATTATCCCGACCTGGAAGCGCCGAGGGTCCCATCTCGTCCATTTCCTTCCCGTAATCCTTGTATCTATCCCAGCCAGGGTCCCTGGTTGGCTCTTTAGGTCTGTAGTGATTGTAAGACTTGGCAGACACCCTCGAGAACCCACTCTCGTCGTCCCCATGTCGGTCATAGCGATCTGGGGGGATCTCTGGCGACAGCCTACCTACAAACGATCCCTGCCTGGGTTTGACGCTCTCGGGAGAATCATACGTGCGTCTGTGTTTCCGATTGAGGTTTCTATACATGTCTTTTTCCCTCAGTGCTTGTTTGTGGTCGTGGTGTCGCTGCTCCCTGTATCCAGGATCTGAACCATCTAGACTGTCATGTATAGGAATCAAGCGTTTAGGGTGATCTCTTCCAGGTTCATAGTTCCGATGTCGTCTTCTTTCCCTCTCCAATAGAATAGGATCTGAACTAAAGTTCTTATTCACCCATCTGGACGTACTGTGAGCTTTGTCGTTGTACAGAATTGGGTTTGTGGGGTAGTAATCTCTATGCGGGTGGTACTCCGTGTGTTGATCAGCCTCCAAGTACCTTCTGTCGTACTGGTAATATCTCCCATCGTAGTACGGCGTGTCTAACCAATCTCTGCTGTCTCCAAAGTTCCGCTCGACCCATCGTGAAGTATTTGTAGCTTCCGGTTCCTGTCCAATGAAGCGTCTAGGTCCTAATGGTGTCTGGAGTATGTCTGAATCCGTCTCAACATCATACCCGAGCCACATTGGCCGGCTTGAATACTCTGCAGCGTAACCTGAATGTCTGCCCACCCAGGCGGCAGTGTTGCTCACTTGAGGGTCAGCTACGAGTCTTTTCTCTGACCATGGGGGCGCAATGAGGGAACCCCTTCTTGGCACTTTACTCCAGCTTGTTTTGGGAGGTTTTGGTGTGGCGTCATACCTCCTCAGCTGTTCCTGGGGAAAGGTTCTGAAGGTGTGATTGCTAGGAGCACGGACGTTGTACCTTGGGAAGCTCCATCGAGAAGACACTGGCGTCCTCAGCACGTCGTCTTCATGGACCACTGTCCTGGTAAACCTGCTGACCACAGACCCTGGTACGGGCATCATGCTTCTGTCCGAGATCACCGAGTCCTTGTAGTCTCTGGGCAGTGACATCATGGACCCCTGGTCTGGGTTCTCACTCCAAGGAGTGGGCGGGGGAGAGTCGATGAGATCTCTCCTCCTCAGGCCCCGTCGGGGGGTCCTCGGTAACTCTCTCCGTCGGCGTCGGTGACGGGAGGGCGTCGGAGGCTTCCACAAATTCTTGATACGCCTCGGGGTTCTCTCCCTTGGGAACATAGGACCTGGGGGTGGGAGGTCAGGGGTCACCACGACTGTCCCGGGCGAGTATCTGTCCGGGGGTGGGGTCAGGCCTCGGGGGTGGCCAGGAATGACCACAACAGTTGCATTTCCTCGACTAGGGGCTCGCTTTGGTCTCGGGCCCTCATCATGGACAACTGGTTTTGGTTGGTAGGATGGCCTTGGCTCTTGCCTTGGTTCTTGCCTTGGCACTTGCCTTGGTTCTTGCCTTGGTCTATTTTCGGGAGGAGGTTTTCTCTCCGGAGTCAGCTTCCTCGGCTTAGGTTCAGGTTTGGCTTCTTTTATAGGCTTAGGTTCTGGAGGTTTTTGTTTCGGTTTTGGCTTGGGTTCATCAGCAGGTTTACTTTTATCATACATTGGTTTATTATTGTCATACATTTTCTGTTTATCACCGGGTTTGCTTTTTTCGTACATAGGTCTGTCATTGTCGTAAAGTCCCTTGTTAGCATTTTTGCTTTTGTCATACATATCGGCCCCCTTTGTTTTGTCATACATGGAAGCGCCCTTTGTTTTATCATACATAGGTTTGTCGTCATACATGGGCTTATCAGCGGAGTATAATCTCTTGCTGGTCGCCATGGTGATGTTTTAAGCTGCACCTGAAACAAAAAGATTTGGTTCAACCACAGAACAAGTGAACACTAGCATCTTTTACACGAACACTGGGTGATGTTTCACTGAATCGCGTATAGTGGTGGTGGTGTGTGGGGTGCTTGTGGGTGGTAGTGTGGTGGTGGTGGAGGGTGTGTGTGTGTGTGGAGGGGTGGGGTGGGGTGGGGGGTACGGTGTTGGTTGGGGGTGGTGGTTGTGATGATGATGTGTAGGGGTCGGGGTGGGGAAGGGTTGGGTAGGGGGGGGTGGGGGGTGGGGGGGTTGCCTCTATCTAAAAAATCTGACTGGGTTTTATTTTTCGTTGCATGTCTGCTGGGGTACAGGTTTATTCTTTTTCAGGGCATGACCCAAGATATGTAGTTGCTTGACTACTTACAACTGTGGCGTTAATATTTCATAGAGTTTCAGTTTGGCAAAACACCAGGTTTAGTTCGGTTTCCGTATTGTGTGGATTCTGGTGGAGTCAAAACACTGACCAAACACCTCTAGATATCAACGGGGTTCATATGGTAAACATATGGTTCTATTTGTCTTCTGTTTAACGCCGCGCTCAGCACTGTCCCGGCTATATAACGGCTGCCACAACATACTGGAGTCTAGACCAGACAGACTGATGATTGTCGTTGTGAACGCCCCATGGATGGGTAGGAGGACACGCAATGGCCCAAGTCACCCAGGGTGGCCACTCTGTCTACTGAGTTGCCTCGTGGGAGAAGATAGAACCAAACACTACACATGTGGGATATCATGCCAAACACTACACATGTGGGATATCATTCCAAACAACGCACATGTGGGATATCATGTCAAACACTACACATGTGGGATATCATGTCAGACACTACACATGTGGGATATCATTCCAAACACTACACATGTGGGATATTATGTCAAACAACACACATGTGGGATATCATGTCAGACACGACACATGTGGGATATCATGTCAAACACTACACATGTGGGATATCATGTCAAACATGACACATGTGGGATATCATTCCAAACAACACACATGTGGGATATCATGTCAGACACTACACATGTGCGATATCTTGTCAAACACGACACATGTGGGATATCATGTCAGACACTACACATGTGGGATATCATGTCAGACACGACACATGTGGGATATCATGTCAAACACTACACATGTGGGATATCATGTCAAACACTACACATGTGGGATATCATGTCAAACATGACACATGTGGGATATCATTCCAAACAACACACATGTGGGATATCATGTCAGACACTACACATGTGCGATATCTTGTCAAACACGACACATGTGGGATATCATGTCAGACACTACACATGTGGGATATCATGTCAGACACGACACATGTGGGATATCATGTCAAACACTACACATGTGGGATATCATGTCAAACACTACACATGTGGGATATCATGTCAGACACGACACATGTGAGATATCTTGTCAAACACTACACATGTGGGATATCATGTCAAACACGACACATGTGGGATATCATGTCAGACACTACACATGTGGGATATCATTCCAAACAACACACATGTGGGATATCATGTCAAACACTACACATGTGGGATATCATGTCAGACACTACACATGTGGGATATCATGTCAGACACGACACATGTGGGATATCATGTCAGACACGACACATGTGGGATATCATGTCAAACAACACACATGTGGGATATCATGTCAAACACTACACATGTGGGATATCTTGTCAAACACTACACATGTGGGATATCATTCCAAACACTACACATGTGGGATATCATTCCAAACACTACACATGTGGGATATCATGCCAAACACTACACATGTGGGATATCATTCCAAACACTACACATGTGGGATATCATGCCAAACACTACACATGTGGGATATCATGTCAAACAACACACATGTGGGATATCTTGTCAAACACTACACATGTGGGATATCTTGTCAAACACGACACATGTGGGATATCATGTCAAACAACACACATGTGGGATATCATGTCAGACACGACACATGTGGGATATCATGTCAAACAACACACATGTGGGATATCATGTCAAACAACACACATGTGGGATATCATGTCAAACAACACACATGTGGGATATCATTCCAAACACTACACATGTGGGATATCATTCCAAACACTTCACATGTGGTATATCATGCCAAACAAAAATAAATTCCCCCAATATGTTTCCTTGTTACTTTTTATTAATCTACACGCCACAATAAATCCTGACTTAGAAGTTTCAGTCAGAGATAATATGTTAAATTTGTTATTCATGTATGTAACAAATATTATTTCATGAAGTTCAAGATATGACGAAAGTGAATCCTAACTGAGGCTTCCACGAATCAGTTTCAAAGGTCTTTAAGCTATTATAATTTTATTTTTACATGAATGGAGCGTATCTTCAAACAAATGACGGGCGTGATTGTGCACCTACGTACTACGGATATAACGAACAAATTCCAAAGGTTTCTTGGAGTTCGTTATAACCATATTTTACTGTATTATAAACTTGATAAACAAAGGACCGTACCTCCTTGTGCCACCAATCACTGATCCAGATAGTCTTCAATGCAAGCCTACAGGGTACTCTTCATTCTGGTACAATTCTGACACAGTCGGGTTCAAAAGTCATTCCCCATTCATTCTCCAAGGTGGGGTCCCAACAACAAGATATGCTACCTGTTCACATGAAAAGTGAATATCGAATTCAGTTTCCAGAATTCATGAAGCTGTTCAACAAACACCGTCGTCCTCCAGCGACGCCGACAACAAGCTGTACATTACAGTCCGATTCGTAGACTTCTGTGAATGCGCAAAAGGCCAGTCATATCTCATTCTGATTATGAATATGATCTATTACCACTCGGGGTTTCTGTTGAATGTTTGAATACTTCCTTTATTTGTGTGGAACTATACCAAAGCACCCAGGACAGGCACGTTTCAATAGGCTTTTAAAACGATCTCTCCCTCACTGAATAGACCGTTTCAATTACAACTATATATGTGTGCTATTCATGTGGTGTTTGAGGGGGGCGTTTATCTAAATACATGTATAAACGTCTATCGAATACGATATAAAAGAGGTACAATATCACTGGATAGGACGCGTATGTTTGAACAATCCGAGTGAACGATAGTCATTAAAAATACAATTGATGGGGGTCAGCTTGGTTATATTTATTTCAGATAAATGTTTTTGATATGTATCTCTTTATAGCAAAATAGTTGAGGATTAAATTTGGAAAATGTGTTTCAATTCATTTAGAAAATATATCTGTTTTTACTTGATTGGAGAGGATAATATTAAAATATTATCTGTATTCTCTCCCAATTGATGAATGCATAATCTATCCTCACTTGTTTAAGGTACAGGTTTTCTACAAATTTTATAAACCTATTCATTGGGATCGCTATTAAGTAAGAGACTTCTTTCTATAGGCATTAAAATCTATTGTGAGCTTTTACTTTCCAGTCGGGTTAAATCTCATAAACAGGGACGTTGTAATGTCCCTGGTATTTTATATAATGTCCTGGGTATTTTATTAATATATCAGATTGTAACATGTAATGAAATGTAAAATCAAATGACAAATGTTTTCTTTATAATCCCGAAGATCGAACTCGCAACCTTCATATATGTAGCCCAGTGAGTGCACCACGAGGCTACAGAGGTGTTGATGAGCCTCACTGGTTTTTAGAATGTCCTTTTCAAGATCCGTACGCCAGCAACAGATATTTTACGCGCGTTTCCTCACGTTCATTGAAAGTATGTTCGAAACATAAAAATGTTGATAAATGTTGTTTTAAGTTTCTTTTTTCGGTTTATAAGTATGGAAAAACCCTTTCCCTCGGTTTTGGTAGACAGAGCATGCCCTGGGAATCGGGAAAAACCAAGGGGGCTTCGCTCTGCTCTGTCTACCAAAACCTCGAAAGCGTGTTTTCTCCAATACATAACCAAACGTTTTCCCATAGACTTCTATAGTAACGTTATATTTATTTTTCAAATGCTAGACAGTCAACAGCTCTCACATGTACATGTGTGCAGTTTGGCCTTAAAGCAGCAATAAATACAATAAACTTGACAAGTTTGGCTAGTTGCTTTGTCGAGTACAGGAGGCTAAACATACCACCCCCACCCCCACCAAATTTCACTTGCTTGTAAATATCTGTGGTCACACAAGTCATAAGACAGCACTAAATATTAAATATAGATTGTCAATGCAAGAGAATAACAAGTCAATATTATGCGACGAAACATTACAACATGGCCAGTTTTAGTTACAGGGTGGACGTACATTATAAAAAACGTTAAAATCTTACACAAAATCATACAATCACAGTAGAAAGATGTCTCAATCAGCACTGAACGACTGATTCTAATGTTGTGTTGTAGAACCTGCAGCGGGTGGGGTGAAATGAGGTTTAACGTCGCGTCCAAGATTATTGCACTTATGTAGCGACGTGCATGCGTGCATGCGTGTGCGTGTGCGTGCAAGTGCGCGTGCGTGCGTGTGTGTGTGTGTGTGTGTGTGTGTGTGTGTGTGTGCTTGTACTAGACCGGACTGATGCCGATTTATAGTGCTAGCTCACTGAGATACCATGCCGCAGTTTAACATGAATACCCCACTCAGGCACAGTATACTGACTCCGAGCCGACCAGTCCTTGTGTTAGCCCCTTAATGCCGAACGTCTTTTTGTATGACGCGGCCGGGGATCGAACTCCGGACCTTCCGCTCTCCGGGCGGACGCTCTACCACTAGACCACGGAGGCGGTCAGAACCTGCAGCAATGCCTCTCTTATCATGATCGGTTTCAAGCTCCTTCCCATAGTGTGCACCTTCGTTAGACTCATGTTTTAGAGTATAGTATACAGTGAGTGAGTTGGGTTTTACACCGCTTTTTCTTACATTCCAGCAACATCACGATGATGGACACCGGAAATGGGCTTCACACATTCTGCCCATGTGGGGAATCGAACCCGGGCCTTCGGTGTGACGATCGAACGCTATAACCACTAGGCTAGCCAACCGCCCATGGTACAGACAGCTCCACGAACTGTCCATTGCTGGGAGGAACTTGGATCTGTTAACTGTCTGCTCACATTCTGATGATGTCCTCATGGTGGTTCATTGTATATCATCACCATGCCCTGCTCCTATGGGTAAACGAAGGGGTAACTGTCTAGGTCCTGGGTTGTCTCTAGGGTTCAACGTAGGGGTAAGTGTCTAGGTCCTGGGCTGTTTCTAGGGTTCAACGTAGGGGTAACTGTCTAGGCCCTGTGTTGTCTCAAGGGTTAAACGAAGGGGTAACAGTCTAGGTCCTGGGTTGTCTCTAGGGTTCAACGTAGAGGTAGCTGTCTAGGTCCTGGGTTGCCTCTAGGATTCAACAAAGGGGTAGCTGTCTAGGTCCTGGGTTGCCTCTAGGCTTCAATGTAGGGGTAACTGCCTAGGTCCTGGGTTCAACGTAGGGGTAACTGTCTAGGTCCTGGGTTGCCTCTAGGATTCAACAAAGGGGTAGCTGTCTAGGTCCTGGGTTGCCTCTAGGCTTCAATGTAGGGGTAACTGCCTAGGTCCTGGGTTGTCTCTAGGGTTCAACGAAGGGGTAACTGTCTAGGTCCTGGGTTGTCTCTAGGGTTCAACGAAGGGGTAACTGTCTAGGTCCTGGGTTGCCTCTAGGATTCAACGAAGGGGTAGCTGTCTAGGTCCTGGGTTGCCTCTAGGCTTCAATGTAGGGGTAGCTGTCTAGGTCCTGGGTTGTCTCTAGGGTTCAACGAAGGGGTAACTGTCTAGGTCCTGGGTTGTCTCTAGGGTTCAACGAAGGGGTAACTGTCTAGGCCCTGGGTTGTCTCTAGGATTCAACGTAGGGGTAACTGCCTAGTTCCTGGGTTGTGTCTAGGGTTCAACGTAGGGGTAACTGTCTAGTTCCTGGGTTGTGTCTAAGATTTAAAGCAAAACTGTCTAAGTCAGTACCATACTTATCAGTTTAACAGTGAAAAGCATCAAAACATTTCTACCAACATTGAACTGATAGCTGTGACAGGACAGAAGCAAGTCCTTCCCCGACTCAGGAACGGGGCCAACACCACTGGGACACGGACTGGTGCAGTCTCAAGATATATTGGCACATACACAAAGTCTCTAATCAACTTGAAGAAATAAAATGCAACAAAAAAACTGAAGCATTCATTCCAGACAAATCACAGAGGTTTACATACATTTTGCATTCACAACACACCAGTGTAGAGTAATAAATATATCTTGAATATTTTATTTTACTTCAATTCATATTAGAAAAAGAGACTGCTTCCAGTCTAGGAGACACAGTGACAAACCTATGTTTTTTATATTATTTCACAATAAATGCATCTGTATATTAAAAGACAATATTCTAAGTCTGATAATGCAAAACATATCTAGAAAGAATTGCCTGATGTTAACATCTAGACTGTTTGATGGCACCGGTGAAGATCCTGGTTAAGAATTGGTCTTCAGCAATCCATGATTGTCACAAGAGGCGAGAGATGGGATAGGGTAGTCAGGATCATTGACTTGATTGATGTGTGTCATTGTATCCCAGGTAGAATAGGTCTTCAGCAACCCATGCTTGCCGTAAAAGGCGACTATGCTTGTTGTAAGAGTCAACTAACTCGCTGACTTGGTTCATGTATGTTATCGTACCCCAATCGTGTGGATCGATGCTCATGGTGTCAATTACTGGACTGTCTTGTCCAGATTCGATTTTTAACAGACTGCCGTCATATAGCTAGAATATTGCTGAGTTTGTGCTAAACAACAAACAAACAATATATGGGAAGCAGGCTCTCTACAGTCCGGGTGCCATTGTACAAAGCGATCTTAGCGCTTAGGTGATCGTAACTTCCTTACCATACCATAGACTTACGATAGTCGTAGGGCTAAGGTTGTTTTGTACAACGGCACCCTGGTAAAGGACAAGGGGGCACACAGACTGTAAAATAAGTTGACAACAAGAGACATTGAGTGTAATTTTATTGTTTATTTACTGAATCCCTTTATATGATTTACATGCAAAAAAATAATATCACTGATAAATGACCTTAAATGACTGAAAAGAGATTTGAACTATAAAGGTTTTGTAAGTGAAAGCAAATCTTCACATAAAGTTGCTTCTCAGAACTAACAATCCATGATACTCATCATTCTAAAACATTTGTTAAAAACGCCCACAAAAATTTAACTCCAAGCATAACACTAATTAAATATTCAAACCACACTTTTAATAATCACTAGTTTGCTTTCACTCAAATTTCAAAACATGGAACCTGAAATGTTCTCTTCTTCCCACCTGTCATCTTTTACATAAACCACTTGAATGAATCCAAACATGTTTCATCACGTAAATTGAAATTGAGGCAACTCAGAAAGTGTGGTTTCAAAAATAAAAAAAATCAGTGCAATATGCAACTATTACAGCGAATACAAGTGTGAAATTCATTAACTAGCACCCTCTGAAACTGGTTAGGAATTAATTATTGACAAATTAGACACAAAAAGTAATAAAATATCAAAACTATATAATATATATTTAGGATGAAGTACACAGACATCAAGTGATAAACATGGATATAAATGTCTAAAGTACACACTACAGGGAAAACCTACCCTGGTCTCTAGGGTCAGCATAGCAACATATATAGTCAGATGCCTCCATTCACCCACATCTTGATGACTATAATTTTATAACACTGTGTCAATATCATCAAGCCACAAAAATAGTTTTAATAATTCAAAACTACAGTCATTGAGCTGGAAATAATCTTGAAAATATACATACCAGTGAGGTAACATTTTAAAACTTAAAATTAATATTCATTAAACATATTTGATCTCAAAAAATATTTTTGTCAGTGACTTCTATATTGAGCACCACCTAGAAACACTATGGCAAAACCAGCAAAATTAGAGTTACCTCCCCTTAATAGTACTGGTCCCTTTCTATTTCTACAGATTTATTTATTTAGAGAAATGAGCGAATGAACACTGGTATGTTCATCCAACTACTTGAAGCCAAATTGACAGTTCATACAGTGTTTAGAAAATAGCCATCAAGAATTGCATTATCATAATTGTAAGAACACACTATACATCAACAGCATGTATGATAACAATCCAAACAGAACAAGCAAGTGTGCAGAAGCCTGTACAAGGGAAAGCTCAAACATCATATATAGATTCATCAAGATAACTGAACTTAACTTTACAACACTTTTTCCCAAATGCCCTGAGATTATTTTTTGACTTAAAGCATAACAAAGTTCTTCATAACGTTTGATGTCCTGGAGGCTTAACTATTGAACAGGTCTTTTATTAAACTATTCGAATTACACAAGAAATGAATAATATGTCATGAAGTCAACATATTGTCATGGATCAGTATTGCTGATTTTGTTCATTAGCGTATAAATGAAACATTGAAAACACAAAAATCAGAAAGAAAATAGCAAAAATTGGCATTGAACATATAGTTATGATTGTGAAGAAAAGGAAAATATTTGTACATTCGAAAATGAAAATTGCACTGCAAAGAAAAATATTTACTTACAATCATAATTAATTTCACAATTTGACAATAGAACACTTCGTTTTGCTTCATTCATAATCAAATGTTAGCAACGGTTAGAGAACTGAAAATAAACAAGTATATTCATAAAACAAACAACTTTACAAAACAATATACAATTAACAAGAAGTAGAAGTAATAAGTATATCCTTGTTTGTAAAATCATCCAAAGTTCATGAAACAAAATTCATCCAACTTTCAATATCACATCCTAAACCATGTAAGTTACCTGTTGTACATATAAACCCAAGTCAGATCTAATAAAATATACAGCAAAGAGAGATGCGTATGGATGCTTCAGAACTCATATCCATATTTGTGCAGGCATTTCACTTAAAGATGTACACACACAAAGAAAGAAAAGACCATATATCTTCCGCCCTGATCTCAAGATGGAGGGACATTTACACTTAATGATGAAGATGACAAATTTAAACAATGATGACTTAGTCAAATTTCAATTCAGTGCACACTGGCATGACTGGTACACTGTGCTATTTACCTGGCTGTTGCAAGGCTGTAACCATGGTAACAAGAACAGGTGTAAAAGTAATAATTGGGCTGGAGATGTTACTTACTTCCATTTTAACATTATCGCCATAACTTGAACTGCAGAACAGGTACTAGTTTCATTTCTGAATAATGAAATATTTGATAATAATATTTAACCATTTGATATTTGAATGCTGATTTTGAAAAGCATGTCAATATATGACTTCATCTACAAATCTAAAAAAAGGCTTGTAATGATTATAAAAATTGTTTTTAACACTTTGTTTAATAATGAGATATAGATGCAGTGACTTGAACTCCCAAACCTGTGGAAAGTGAAACCAATTTTAATCTAGACAGTGATATTCCAAGTTAAATCATCCAAGTTGTGTCCCTTTGCATATATCCATGTTCCCAGCAAGCCCTCAACAACCCAGGGTTTCGAGGCTAAACAAAGATCCCTATGGAGGGTATTATTGTGTTCATCTTGAAACTGGTTCCAGCCCAAACACCTCAACACAACGTGCCCCCGAGTGGCCCCGTAGAGGACGTGATCGTCATCCAATGTCCCCTCCATATATACATGGTATTAAAGAATGCATAAAAGTGAAAAGATGATATGTACCAAGCTTGGCAAAATATACAACATATTCGTACAAATATGTGTCCACCGAGAAAAATAGACATTCTAAATGTTACACAAAGGTTTTGGACATCGGAACAGAATCTGGACTGACATTTTAAAGGCAAATGTTGGCTCATTGTATTAAGGCCTTTATCTTTGAAGAAAATTCTTAATTTCTTACCAAAACTGAAAATTATTATAATTTGTAAAATATTTATAAACAAAGAACTGTTGATAATAGCCTGTATAAAATATTTCTCCAGCAAAACCATGTTTTGAGTAAGAACATCCCAAAAGGCCTTTACAAGACAACAGATCATGTCACACCAATGTGACCTAACTAAATACACAAGCCATTTAGAGGGAACCAGAGTTAAACTTTTTCCAACAACGATAAGTCTTTTCCTAGTACTGCTATCCTAAAGTTAGATTATATATGTCTTGTCCTAGTACTGCTATCCTAGAGTTAGGTTACATATATGTTTTGTCCTAATACTGCTATCCTAGAGTTAGATTACAACATTCACGCAACATTGACTATCATAAGCCTGCAAATTCTAATCCTCAATTGTTCTTAGCTAAAACTTTTACAAGACACTAACACTTTCGCAGGCATTTTTAAGTTGGAAGAAAACAGATTTCTCTTATGAAAAAACTGCATAAATACTCATTTGTAACCAAAATGGTGGTGGTTTCAATCTGTTCTAAAAGTATCTCATTTCAAATTAAGTTCTTCTTGTTCCATTTTCTTTGCAAGAAAAATGAAATATGCCTGTGTGGGAATGTCAACCGCCATACCCTTGTCGTCGAGTTCTTTCTGTAAGAAAGCTCCAAAAACAGGCTTTAGCCAAAATATGAAGTTAGCTGCTTCAATGCAAAACAAGCATCACATACCCTCATTAAAATCCTTTTCACAACCATTAAAAGAATCAGAACGGTGACAGGAGACAGAGAATGCAACATAGCAGTACAAAATCCTTTAAAAAGCTTTAAAACTTTTGAAACACACTGTTCGAGCCACAAATTAAAGTAAAACTTAACCAGTGTTTGAAATAATTTTATAACCCAACAAGACAGTGGGCAGGTGAGCCATTAAAGTCGCCAGCCCACCTCTGAAGTTACCTGCCCATATACAGATATAATAAATGTTGAAAAATCTTGAAAAAAAGAGACAAATTGCGTCTTGATTCAGTTGAAATAATGCCAACAATTACTTGAGGATCTATAAGGAGTTATAATAAAACTGAATACATAAGTTGGTTTAAAATTATCTGCCTGACAGTTGGGCAGGTAAGGAAAATTTCATGCAGTTACAAGCCACGGGTAGGCGGGCAGGCAGTTATTTCGGACACTGATCTCAAAAACATTTATTGACTATTAAAGAAGTTCCTTAAATATGGTAGTGGTTAATCACCAGGTAATGAGATCCATTACAATATTCACACACACACACACACACGCAGCAGTATCCAACTGGGCATGCGTGGTCAGACAATACCAAAGTTCCACAAATCAGAGAGAAAAGTATCCCAAAACTCCATATTCAGACTTACCATATTCGACGTAATAAGTGCCCCGCTCTAATAACCGCCCACGGCGATATTTGCTAATATATTGGCTAGTGCACAATCCCAATTAGCACCCCTTCCGACTGATCAAAGTGCACAAGACTTATTTATTCGTGTATAATACGCACTCGTTTGTTATATGCACCCTTAATCATGGGCAATTAATTCTCAGAGATTTATCTATCGTCGTGTGATAAATGCACCCTTAATTACGGGCAATTAATTCTCGGAGATATATCTATCATGTATAATACGCACTCGTGTGTTATATGCACCCTTAATTATGGGGAATTAAATTCGGCAAAATATATCTATCGTGTATAATACGCACAGGCTGTTCTTTTATATAATTTCAGGCTGTCAGCATAAACCCCCAAAATTTACAATCTTTCAACTCTGTTTATATCTCACCAAAATTATATTCTAATAAGAGCCCCCTATTTCTAATTTTGAGAGCGCCCTGGGCGCTTATTACGTCAAATACAGTAATTCTTATAAATAGTTTCTTTGAATGAGCTCTGTTATGTACCATATGACATCATGCATCGTTGTGCATTTGTCCTCACTTCGACTCTAAGCAGGAGTCTCTATCCAGGCAAGTGTGTGCTATTAGGGGTAGATAGATTTACATAGGGAAGCCAGTTTGTCCAGTGGATCACGTCGAACACATGCAGGACACATTACACTAATTCATATGTTGTGACAACACCTTTATCATGTTTATTGACTGGTATATTGAATTTATACAGTGTTATATCTATTGAAGAATTACATATGCATTTATTACTTGTATTAGATGTGATTGGAAATTTCAACCTATTATCCAATTGCTTAGAATCAAATGACACAAATGACAAAACCTACTTCGAAAAATAATTAAGTTGCATTTTGAAACAGCTGATTCATTGATGCCAAGTTTGTTTTATTTAATCATTTGTGTTTTTAATTTTTAACTTGGGAGTCACAGGCTTCCATTAACAGAGCAACACCATAACAGCAAAATGTTCAAACTTTTATAAATACACTTTTAAATATCATTATGGTTATCTCAAAATGATAGTTATAAAACTGACCTTATTAAAAAGTTTATTCCTGCAACCATGCTATCTGAGTATCAATCCATTACACATTATCAAGGCATAATAGTTAGCCCTGGGCCATGTAGAACTATCACCAAGTTTCCTAAAACGTCAGCATGTAAATTAACCATCACATACATGTAGTAAGTCAATATTTCTCCGTTCTCGAACCTGTGACCGTGTCAAGGTCAGTCTAACAGGCTTTGTGAACATCTACACACTGTTACCAGCACATAATGGTTGTTTCAAACAATCTAGCTGTTTTTCTACGATCCGGTGGAGGGAGGTTCAGTTCAAACTAGAGACACCAATCCTTACTAGAACGTTCAACGCTCCAAAGCGATCAATGCATCTTATAGCCAAGTTCTAGTCAAAAGTGGACAAATATGTCATCTTTGGCAAGAAAATCAAACAATAAATAAATACAAAATTATTGTAGATCTCCTAATGGTAGTAAATGATAAAGATAAATGGTAGCCATTTGTCATTATTAAAAGATATTTTATGTAATAACAGCCCAAAGCAAGCTGGTGAAACTTTAAACCAGATCCTGAGTAAATTCATAATGGATTTTCAAGTGCCTGCATTTGCCAATATCGCGATGGTTAGGTAAGTGGATGCTCTGGCTCCGCGTGAACTTGCTGTGGCAGCGGTGAAGCAGCTAGTACTGTGTCTTGGTCTCGTAGGATGTAGTAGTTGTAGTTGTCTCCACCGTGGCGGCGGAGGAGCTGGTGGTGTGGGACGCGCCGGTCTGCCAGCCGCGGTACTGGAAGAATGTGTCCACCCCAAACACTGCTGTTGTCGCGAAACAGAAGAACTGAAACACAACATGAGGCAATGAGTAAAGCAGCTCTCACACGTTGCCGAGGTGGTTGCCAAGCTCTCCCGTGCCTAACTCGGTTAGGACTCAGAAAGAGACTACATATAAACGAGTATCATACAAGTACGCTACGAGTGTGTTACGAGCCCCATAGGAGTCCAATAGGAGTCTATTAAGAGTTGCATACAAGCACAACGATCTCGATACGAGCTGTACGAGTTTGGTACTACTTTGGTACGAAGTGGCTACGAGCTGCTAAATAATTCGGCGGGAATTACACTCGTATAGCTCGTATTAGACTCGGTCAACTCGGCAATAAATATTGCAGACAATCCTCATACAAGTTCTGTACAAGCACCACGAGGGTATGACGAGTAGGACGAATGTGTTACGAGTTTGTTAGGAGTTTGTTAGGAGTTGGCTGGCGGCCTGACTGTTTTGAGCAGCTCCAAAACTCTTGTAGATATGTACGAGTTATCCCGAGGTATCCCGAGTTACCCCGAGTTTAGTACGACCTCGCTACGAGCTCCATACGAGTACCCCCGAGTCAGCTCGGGTCCATACTCGGGACACAAAGTGTGAGTGCCCCTGAACTAGGCTCACACCCGTGGTGACTCTGGCTTAGAATTGGTCACTACAACCCTATGCTGGTCGTTAGAGGCGACTTGAAGGATCGGGTGGTTAGGCTAGGTTAGGCTTGGTGACATTGATGGCGTGTCAATGAATACTGACGGCGTGGATCGTTGTTACGACATAAATAACTGGATTGTCTGGTCCAGACTTGATTATTTACAGGCTGCTGTCACATTGCTGTAATATTGTTGAGAGTGGTGTTAAACAACCAACAGGTTACTTTGGCTAACAGTGAGTGACTGAGTGAGTGAGTTAGGTTTAACACCACTTCGATCTGTTTGTTTGTTGGTTGTATTACACCGCACTCAGCAATATTCCAGCTATATGATGGCTGTCTGTAAATAATTGAGTCTGGACCAGACAATCCAGTGATTGACATCATGAGCATCGATCTACGCTTTGGGATACGATGACATGCATGAACAAAGTCAGCGAGTCTGACCACCCGATCCCGTTAGTTACCTCTTACGACAAGCAGTCGCCTTTTACAGCAAGCATGGGTTGCTGAAGACCTATTTTTGTACACAGGATCTCAACGGGTCAACTTTGAACAGCATTCCACTTATATCACGGCGTGTCACCTTAATGTGGGAGGAAACCCAGAAGTGATAGGACATAATGAAGTGGGTCTTGTGTGAGGTCTTCTACTATAGACTATTTAGTACATGGACACATTTCCTCTTAATTTTAACCTGAGGGTATTGACTAGGACCCCTTGTCTTCCATTCTTAATATGGAAACACAGTGGTATGTCAGGCAATGCTATGTCCATGATACAAAACTATATTTTAGAGTAGAAATGCAGGAATATATTCTTCAGTGAAAAACCAAGGACAATAATCAGAGATTTGGGGGTTAAAACTATCAGATCCTGGCATGGGTAAGGGAGGCGACTCTACACATTTTCATGAGGTTTTGTTACTATGAAAGGTGATCAATGTCATATGACTGTCATGTGACTGTTATGTGACTGTCATGTGACTGTCATGTGACTGTACTCACGGCGGTAGCGGCAATGGATCCATGCCAGCCTCCACGTACGGCGGCGACGATGGCGGAGATGAGGAAGAAGATGGTGAAGACAATGTAGCACACAAACTCCTACAACAAGGCAAGGTTACTGGTTGACAACACCTGAGTGAGTTCGGTCTGATGCTGTATAGAAAATTGCATCATGATTGAATGTGTCAGTTTGAAGTGTGAGGAAAGTCTCAAGTGATACTTGTCTCAGACGTTAATGTCTTTGGTGAAACCCGCAAACACAGGTATGGCGCTGAAAAAGCTTGAAACTGCATGGAGAAATATTTTTCTGATTTTCCACAGAATTCGTGAGTGATGTATTTAAAATTTTAAGTGACATCAAAATGAAGGTTGAAAAGGAGGGTCATATAACCATGATAACTGTAAAATGGTATTTATTATATTATTTTACAATGTTATTGCTTATAGTACTGTACAATGATAGTACTGACATTACCACACAATGTTATTACTCATAGTACTGTACTTACAATCAATGGCCATGGTCCTGGGAGCTTCTCAAAGATGTGAAGGAAGTGGAAGATGAACAACAGTGCCACCACCACACACGCTGCCACGGCCACAAACTGGATCCAACCAGCTCCGTAGGGCACCCAGTACACCACCGACGTGCAGATGAGGACAATAATACAGAGAACCTGAAACAAGAAGACTCAGCTCAGGTCATAGGAACATGTCTCCGTCCAATCAACTCTAGCATTGAACTGAGTAATTGAGATGAGTTTAACACCGCTTTGAACAGTATTCCAGTTATATCATGGCGTGTCAGCTTAATGTGGGAGGAAAGCCAGGAGTAATGCAGGTCCCAGAAGTTTACCGGTTCTCAGTTGGGTTAAACACCACTTTTAATAGTATTCCAAGTATATCACGGTGTCTCAGCTTAACATGCTTAATGTGGGAGGAAAGCCCGAAGTGATGCAGTTCTCAGACGTTTACTGGTTCTCAGTTGGGTTTAACACTGCTTTTGATAGTATTCCAAGTATATCACGGTGTCTCAGCTTAACATGCTTAATGTGGGAGGAAAGCCCGAAGTGATGCAGTTCTCAGACGTTTACTGGTTCTCAGTTGGGTTTAACACTGCTTTTGATAGTATTCCAGTTACATCATGGCATCTCAGCTTAATGTTGGAGGAAAGACAGAAATGATGCAGGTCTCAGACGTTTAATACTTTGGTGAAACCGACGAGCACGGGTATGGTGCAGATAAACCTAGTAACATAATTGGGGCGAACCGGGATTCGAACCAACAATTTCAGGTTCTTGGAGTGTCCAAGGGATGTAACTCTGCACATAAAATTGTGGTGCCTGACTGGACCACTTGTACGCCTAACATATATCTAAGAATTCACTGTAATAGTTTGCAAAAATCAGCACAACGGTTAAAAAATGTTTATATCTCCTTAAATTCAAAACGACCTGCATGTCATCTTTTTCAGTCACAGGTTCTGGTCCTGACTCGATCATCTTCCAGTTCCATGTCTACATGCTAGTTTTACAGCTAAAATATTGCTGACCAGCGCAATACGAAAACTCGCTCCGTCTCTCAGGATCACTCACAAATTCAACTATCTTGAGTATTCCGGGGATGGACTTGACGTATCCGACATCGGGGTGGATGCCCGTCGTGCTGGACGAGGTGGTCGTGGTGGTCGTCTCGTAGGTAGACATGTTGACTTATGTCACTGATCAATGAAGACAGGAGATCACAGAAAATCCCAACTGAAAAAAGATACACCAAATAAAACAATGTCTGGCTCAAAGCAAGCAATGATGATATTTACCCTGAATAAACACAGAAGGAAAAGAACTCACATAACAGATTATGAGGGGAAAAACTCTATTCCTGTCATTCAATATTGAAACAGGATAAATGTCATGTCGTGCATACTATTGTCTTGAATACACAATCTAAAAAAACAAACAAACCAGGATATATCCTTGAGGATATAAAGTCATAAAAAACAAACGTCATTGTGATTATCGAAGTATGTCTGGCAAACATTGAAGTATGACTGGCGATAGGCAAACGTTGAAGTATGACTGGCGATTGTCAAAGTTTATTAGTTTGTTGTTTAATGCCACACTCATCAATAACCCGGCTAGATATGAATTAGTAATCAAGTCTGGACCAGATAATCCAGTGATTGACACCATGAGATATGATGACAGGCACCCGATCCTGTTAGTCGCCTCTTACAGAGAGCATGGGTTGCTGAAGACCAATTCTAAGACAGATACACAGATCAACGTAGTGAATGTCGAAGTATGACTGGTCAATGACAAAGTACGACTGGTGATTGTCGCAGAATGACTTTCCCCAACAAAGCAGCCATATAAGACTGTCCATATCTTTTCTGTTTCCCATCTCCCATCTGCCATGAATTTTTATTCCAACATGAAAAGTTTTCAATCACAATTTCTCCCGCTGCCGTGGACAGTAATGCCCCGATGAGATAAAAGAAAATACACCCTCAATTGCACACTAAAAACCCAGCTTGATCTTTCTTCAGTAATATTTATTAAACATTTGCACAGTGACTCGATCCACGTCATAAATTAATTTATACACTGTTACGAAGTGTCCTAAAAACTTTAAAATTTCATTTTAAAAAGTTACAATTAGCATGATAAGTGAAAAAGTGTTTTTGATTTATTTTAAATTTTTGAAATTTCACCTGCCCGCTGGATATGGATGGCCTAATGGTTGAGGTTGGAGATGGGAAACACTTAAAAACAACATGGATGGCCTATCCTGCTCCCTTGTTTATTTGATAAGTCCTACCGTATATGACCGCGTATAAGCCGAATTTTGAGGACCAGAAAAAAGATTCTGTAGAAAGGGGTCGGCTTATCCACGGGATACACTTTCATGATAGTATTTTTCAGATCGTGATCGGTCAAAAACATCGCCTGAATGACGGTCCGTTAGATAACAACTTCCCGAAAGTTTGGAAGTTGCCACGACTAGAGACATTATTGTTATAAATTATCAATAAAGTTATTATTATACACCAATGTTGTCATTATTAAAAAAAAAGTTATGCATGTTACTACTTCCGATAATAAGTTTTCAATTGAATGTTCAAAGTTTATCATTCTTCGTAAACTCCGCGATCTTTACATGTAACAATATATGTAATTCACAGCTATAATATATAATCCCCAAATGAAATCGCCAATAGCTATTACGTACGTTTTGCAAAGTTCATAAATTGATAGTGAACAAGTGTCTACCTTTATTGAAAGAGGCAAATAAACAACTGTATCGGCGAGTTATTCCGTTCGCCATTTGCAAAAACATGTGATCAGCTGTTTCCTGTGACGTCACAAACGGTGACCACTGTGATTGCTTCCTGTTGTTTAAAGCAACACGGTACACAAGGAAATGAGCATTGATAATAACGGGCCGATTGGTATTGTCATGTTGTTTACACAAACATTTTCAAGTTGTGGGTGCTTAGCGATCGTGTTGGGAGTAGGGGCTTAATTCCTTTGTTTTCGAGAGATTAGTTTATTAAACTGGAGAAGCCTGTGAGTAAGTGATGGTCATTCAATGTGTTCATAGTATGATAGTTTATTTAATTCAATTGGATTAACATACAATAGTGGTGTAAGGGGGTTATAAAAGTTGGTATATTTTTACTGACTGACATTCTCATCATGAGTTTGAAACGAAAACGCCACGCTTACGATGCTGAATTCAAACTGCGCGTCTTCGCACTAGCCGATATATTTTCTCACGGGATCATAATTCTATATGCACCGATTCACAAAATGGCGCTTCGTTGTTGATGGCAACATATAACGATCATTATGAGATTAAAAAAACCCACGAGAAACAGCTTCCCACATTATGAAAGTGGATGACTGGTTTGTTAAATCTTTATTAGAAATAATAATGACTTTTTCAATATAATTACAACGTTTTTCATCTTATATTTTTGAATATCTGCGAGTACCGGCACATGTCTTGCAGTCCGACTTCGCAGTGTTTTTTGCCTTTTAATTCCTGGTTCGGCTTATCTGCGGGTCATACCATTTTCTTTCGTATTTCAATGGTCAAATTAATATATGATAAACTTGATATGACCCCTTCAAACACTAGTAACCACATACTTGTTCAGTGTGAGACATTGTACAACAGTGATTGTTTAACATTATAAATATCTCTCTACCTGCTGTAACAGTGGCCAGTACCCATTACCACAGGCATGTTATATCCTGACCTGTCTGTGACAGGCCAAGTCTGCCCCACTCCTCTGTAAACCCCCCCCCCCCCCCCCACCCCCCCCCCCACACACACACCTCTGTAACCCCGCCCCACTCCTCTGTAGCCCCACCCCACTCCTCTGTAATCCCCGCCACACATTTGGCAACAATTCCTTCACCACATGGACTCCTGACTAATCCCTAGCCTACTTCATGGAGTCATAAATGACCCAATAAAAAACGTTGATTTATTATCAAGGACCTATTTTTAAATGATACACTAAAGAAGGATTAGGCTCCACTGTTTTCAATTAAGGTCTAGACATTTTCTCTATAGTGCCCTGCATGGAAAAGAATATATTAAAAAAATCTCTAATGGCACACCCGCCCTCCTAAGCCATGTAGTGAGGTGAGTGAGTTTGGTTTTACGCCGCTTTTAGCAATATTCCAGCAATATCACGGCGGGGGACACCAGAAATGGGCTTCACACATAGTACCCATGTCGGGAATCGAACCGGGGTCTTCAGCGTGACGAGCGAACGCTTTAACCACTAGGCTACCCAACCGTCCCCCTAAGCCATGTAACACACTAAATTGCATTTATTTTTAACTAAGAATAAGAAATGATTTTACAACTCAAATTTAATTTATGTACTTAATTGCCAAAAGGCGAAACAGCAGTAAGAACTAAATGGATTGCTGCAAATCAGTGATGCCACCAGATGTCTGCATGTCCTGCCCTACCAGTAGCACCAACCACTCACACAATAACACAAAAATATAACTAAAAAAAAAAAATTTTCCCTACCAGTCAGTTTTGAAAGAAGTCATGTGAAACAACACTATTTATCAACTGGTCCTCCTCCTAGCATGTTTAGTGTTTTATGCTGGATTGTATAAAAATAAATAAGCACACACCATGAAATAAAATGGTGTTTGTAGCACTTGGCTCAATCTTGTTAAGAGTAACAGTTTGCTTTTACTGCTGGTCCCAAATACATTTAAAAAAAAATATTATTAGGTTGCTAGGCAACTTCTCAGCAAATCACACAAAACATATTTGTCAAGCAAGATATTATATAAATTTACAAATAATTAAATAATGTGACTCAGTGACTCAGAAATTCTATTACTGTTCCAATCACCTGTTGAGCAGTGTACATGGAGCCTTCGTCTACTCACCAGGGGCTCAACCACTGGCGTGACTTTGCCCTGCAATATATATAGGCTACGCAACACCCACCACTACTAACACATGTACACATGGCTGTCGTTCCAGATTTATCCTGTTTATTTACATTTGTTTGATGTGTTCATGTCCGTGGTCACTCCTTGTACTGTGACATTCAGAGGGAATATGGTCCAAGACGTTTTCACCATGGAGATACAACACAGAATAAGCGGTACTGGAAATGGAGTGAGATCTGATTTCACCATTACAAAAGTTCTAAAGTGGAATTCTACCATCCTAGGCTTACTCAGTCTCAAAAATATATAATTTTTATACAAAAAACCCCCCCAACTTCATTTAAATTGAAAAGGAGCCCCACTGAGATGGGAGGATCTGTTGAAAATCTAGACTTGCTTCACTTAGGGGTATATCATTACAAGCAGCACTGGGTGGAAGGGAAAATATATAGTTCAGGGACTGTGAGACAGTCTACAAGTCACCTTGCATGACATAAAATGAAAATGTGCTCAGATTACCACCCTTAACATGAGATGCCTGGACTGTGTCATCGTGGTACTCACTGTTCGTGACCAAGCAAGCAACTTGATTGATAACATACACCAAACATTACATCATGTTTATAGTTGTTGGGTTTCGGTCATTGGGTTGGGTTGGGTCATTGGTATAAGGATCTATACTGTAACATCGCCTTTACAGTATTCTGGTGAGGTGAAATTGGTTTTAACCTCGCGTCCAAGATGTTTGCACTTATATATATATAGCGACGTGCATGCATGTGTGTGTGTGGCTGCTTATACTAGTCCGGACTGATGCCGATTTATAGTGCTAGCCCACTGAGATACCATGCCGCAGTTTAACATGAATACCACTCAGACACAGTATACTGACTCCGAGCCGACCAGTCCTTGTTTTAGCCCGTTAATGCCGAGCGCCAGGCAGGGTAACAACAAGTACCATCTTTTAACGTCTTTTGGTATGACGCGGCTGGGGATCGAACTCCGGACCTTCCGCTCTCCGGGCGGACGCTCTACCACTACACCATGGAGGCGGTCCTTTACAGTATTAAAGAAGTTGTTATCCATAAATTGTGTCTACTTTGTCATCTGTCAATTTCTAAGTAATGCCTATGAAACAATTCATTATTACTGAAGCCCTAAATCAGAGTGAGAAGGTGCCCTATATCAGAGTGAGAAGGTGCCCTAAATCAGAGTGAGAAGGTGCCCTATATCAGAGTGAGAAGGTGCCCAATATCAGAGTGAGAGGGTGCCCTATATCAGAGTGAGAAGGTGCACTATATCAGAGTGAGAAGGTGCCCTAT